TGGCTCCTCATAAAGTGGTCTCAAAGTTGTGCGTAATAGAAGTTGAAATGGTGGACATACACACATATTTTAGGCATCCTACTGATAAACAGTTAATATCCTTATAGTCAAAAATCATAGTCATCCCACTTGACATGACGTTTAAATAGCAGCACTGATCACTTTTCTTTTAAATCAAAGTGACAGAATGAAAATATGCGTTATTACAGGCTTGACCAATTCTTGGCAGTTTCTAGTTCCGCTTTAGCGCGGATAACTTTCTGAGAGACTGCCGATTGAAAAGGAAGAGATGATCCGTAAGTCGGCTTTATCATTAATGTTCGTATTAAGGGAGCGAGTTTAATTAAAGAAAGTATAAAGAATTTTAGGAGCAACCAGCCACTCTGTTCTGTGAAATATAAACCGTTCGAAGGAGCAACGTTTGTGCAGAAATTTATAAAGCTCAAGAAACTCAGTGAAGGCCAAAACTTTCTAGCTTGCAATCATGCGCTTCCTATATCTTTATATGTCTTTCGTTTCCTTCTATTTTAAACACCGTTTCATTCGTCTAAAATATTTGAACATGAGAACTTGTTAAGTACGATTTTCCCAGGTTATGTTTTCACATTTTTATACCAAGCGTGATTACGATCATTGTTAAAAAAGCCTCCTCAAAACTTCGATGAAGGCACTTAAAACGTCTTTTAGAATTTTCTAATGAAAATACGGCTATTTAATTTCCTCGAACTTTTGACCGGACCTATCAGGGTATAACAGTGTCGGATGAGATGGAAAAGCCACCTAAAACTTCTTCGAGACCACTAAAGTTCCTCTAAGATATCCGAACAGAGAAACAAGGTTTTAGTGTATCTCCACATTAATCAAGCAGGCTTCTAAAGCATAGAGGAACCATATCGGCTTTGGGACGCGCGTCAACTGGAGGTGAGACGTTTTCCACTTTAAAACTCCTTGACGCTACCAAATTTGAACTGTTCAGTTTCTTAACTCTCATAGAGACAATTTGCCCAAAATTTTGACAAAACCACTACCCATGCTAGAATACAAAAAGTCTACTTCCGGTTGACGTTCGTCAACAGCTAAAACAGCTTTGCTGAAAAGCTACCTATTTAATGTAATGTAATGTAATGTACTGTAATGTAATGAAATGTAATGTACTTTTTAAATCACCAGGCGTTTACCACTAATATGGTTCTCTTCAAAGGAACAGAGTTGTAACCCAGTTACAGCGTTGACTTAATTTTGTCTGAGTTTGTGTTGAAGAAAAAACTTGCAAAAAAACTAATGTTAACCACTGTTATTCGAATAGAGCTCAGAAGTCTAAGGATTGCCATATGCAAAGTCGTTACTGAATTCCGGGCCTTGTAATATATATTCTATACGCGCAGATGTGATGAGTGCTTTACGAACTATGGTAAAACGTGGAGAAGCAAAATACCAGCTAACTACAGGGTTGGTAGCGTAGACAGTTTATTAGACAAATGTGATTTGCCAAACAGGTTTGTTATTCTAGTTTTGTACAAAGTTAAACCCGTCCCACGTGCCGGCCGAATTGTCTTTTCACACCTGGCTCTGGTAATTGCATGTTTACAAGATGACACAATAAGCCAACGGCAGTAGAGCTCATTCGCCAACTGGAGCGTGAAGCTTCTCATAGTGGAAAGAAACTTCACCTGCCAGTTTCTCACTCAAAAACAATGCCTGCCTTCGTGCCCGCGGAGAAAGCAAGATATCAGGGCTATAAATTGCGTAGAGATTGATAAGATCTAAGCTGAGAATTACCAATTAACTACCGCTATTAAATTAAGCTATTATGCAAGTATGAAGCAGGTGCGAACTCTAATCTACCTTGACGTTGCATTCAGTGCGCAGGGCTCTTCGAATGCCATTACAAATAACTGATCCACGTGTCTGAAACAAAACCGTCCAAACGCCCGCCCCATCAGTCAAATTGATCGTGCGTGATCTCAGCTTCGCTACACATCCGGATAATTGTGCCAACGACTTCCTTGAATCTGTGGGGGCTCTACTTTATTAATAGTAGCCAGTTTTAGTAAAATTATTTACAGCTTAGAGTTGTTTATATGCGGTTTTATTACAAGTTTTTGTGGTATGTATAAATTAAACTTCAATCTCGACGATCACGAATGATTGAAACTGAGAATAGGTTCCGTAAAGCGGGTGATATTATGGGTTTAGCTTTTTACTAGGATCAGTAGATACACTCCGCAAATACGATCGCAAATAAGATCATTACAAAAGAATACGAAGAAGAAAAAGAGAGCCCGAAATATGAAGAGCTCCTATTATTCTTTGATTTTAGGGAGAGTGAATTAATATAATAAGATGGCACCAGCACAAAACCTGTACTCTATTTTAAGTTTAGTATATATTCGATGAAACAATAATGCTTGTTAGCTATGATAAAGACCGTGAAGAAGCCCATGAGTCAACATGAGACTGATGCTAAAAAGTTCTAAATTTCTTTTCCCATTAAATGATTTTTGGAATAAGGCTATTAACTTTCTAGCGATTTTCGGAAGCTAGATTATCCCAGATTTGGCCGGTATTCAAGATGAAAAAACCTGAAATTTCAGTTTTGAAAATAGTGACGGGCGGGAAAGAACAATCAGAAAATCGCAAGTTTTCGTAAACCCTAAAATAGCGTCTTCGGTTTTCGAGAGGAAAATAGGAAAGCCCTTATAAATTCGAAAGGGTTGAAGTTGCTTTGGGATGACCGAACATATGGAAATTTTATAGCGCAGCTTTTTTTACAGAGAATTTCAAACACTCTAGACAGGCTGTTTTCATTCTAGACAGGCTGGTATAGGTCTTGAACCCTTTGGAAGGAGACCGTCGATAAAGCTAAAGCCCCTGACTGTATGGTAAAACAATGCCCTTCGAGAAATATTTCCATATGATAAGGAATGGAAAATTCCAAAATTAGGCCCGGCATTGTTTCGGCGATTTAGTCCGCCTTTAAGATCGGTTACAAGGTAAGGTGCAAAGGTGTCCTAGTATACATGTCCCTTCATGCGTGAATCCCGTCTTACAATGAAAAGAATGAGTGTGCACCGCCTCGCCTACAGAAATTAAACAAGCTGCGGCCGTTACTGGGCGAAAATGGCGGAGATAAAAGCCTGATAGCATCTCAACATGTGCTGAGATAGCTTTTGACAGTTATTAAGGACTCTTAATTAGTGACCTTCTAACCTTTGGAAATTGCGGAATTACGCTGCTCGTGGAAAGATGATGGCAATGGCAGCTGGCAGCTTTTTTTTAAAAAAAAGGATAGTAATTAAAACAGGTTAAGTGTTCTGGCTGGAGATAATGATACAAGTAATAGATAATTACAGAAAGAGACGTTTTCGTAAAGTGATTGTTAAATTGCTTTTGCCTCTTCAGTTCATATATATGTGTATTGAAATGTTCATCTTTCAAATCTGTTTAGAAAAAGCCCTTGTTAGAAGTTCCCTTCAAAGGGGCTTTGCACGAGGATATTACTGTTTAAGGTCACTGAATTCTGTAGTGCCTTTGCCCATTCACAAAATGCTCCTGTTGCTTTATGAAGAAGATACCAGATGAATTTTTTCAGGCATAGCATTAAAACTTGAAAAGGTTGGTTCAACTTTTTCAAAGTTTCAATCAATCAATCAACTTTATTTTAAAATGAGCCCAAACACTTAAAAGAGAGCAGAAACTGATAAACCCGTGGCCCTCCAACTAAACTAATAAACATAAAAATTACACTGAGATATATATTTAATAGTGCTTAAAAATTATTACTATCCACCTTCATCCTTGCCATCCTTTGCAAAAGACGACAGAAAACAGCTTTCGCGCTTAAATGAAGTCTTTATTAACAAACCAGGAACGTTATTTTTGGAATTCAATTGATGCTCTTAAAGTTTTAGCTTTTAAAAATCAAGATGGCAAATAGTGTGACATAGCCCCATTTCAAGTCAATTGAGTCGCACACCACATGCAAGCTTAGTTACTTCTTTGGGTAATTGAAGGTTCAGTGCATAACGTTTCTTCCGTAGTGACCACAGGAAACGCAGACTCACAACAGCCTACTGGGTGCCCTGTGTAGCGACAGCTAAGAGAAAACATGCTTCTCGATACTTACGAGAACCAAAAAAATTGAATCATTGACACTTGTCTTCTGTAAGTTTCTTTCTTAGCCGATACTTATCAACACATTATCACACCCGACCGTTTTAAAAGTACTTGAAACTCGCCCATTTCACGATTCACAAAAAAACACTTATTCTAGGCTCCGCTCCGAGGTCCAACCCCTTACCCTTTTCTTTACCATTTTTTCACGGAAAAGGTACCCCTTTCGTATACCTTCTATTGGCAAATGGTACCCCTTTGACGTGCCTCGTTTAGAGCTTTGCGTCCCCTTTAAACTGCTGTAAATGATTCGGTGGGTGCACTACTACTAAGGGGCGTTTTAACGAGAGTCTGCATGTGGTTTGCTCAATAGTAAGGCAATCTTAGGGTTCCTAGATCCTCCGTAATGTACGAGGGCGTTAGAGAGGACCAAAAACCAACCAACCAACCAACCAAACAAACAAATCAAGCTAACGTTATTACAGCAGACGTCAATTCTTGAAACTGACAAACCTTTGTCCATCTTACTGTACCCAACTAATTGCTAATTGAATTATAACTTGGATTGTTGGTTTTTAAGGAGATGGGATAACCGGAATACCCGGAGAAAAACCTCTTGGAGCAGAGAAGGCCCTCTACTTGTCTCAAAACAATCCATCTTTAGCACAGTCCTTGTTAGTCTTCCTTCCCCAAATCGTTTTCGATGATTTAGAACGTGATGTGTGTATCTTGGTTCCAGATTCCCTTCTCGTTTCTGAAGTGGCGAATTTGAGGCTAATCCCTCCCATTGTCCACACTCCCCACCTCAAAAGCCCAATGAAACCAACTGCAGAACAGTGCAAGGAAGGTTACTACAACTACGTTTCTGGTTACGAAAAATATTTATTTCAAAAATGTGTCCATATCTCTCTCTTCTCGGGTGGTTTAATCCTAAATTGCGTGCGAATTGGCAGTTTATGATTCACTTGCTTAAAAGCCTCCAAAGCATTAGGCTCACTGTCACATTCAAACTCAAACAGAATCTTTCCGGCCTTTACATTAGCCACATGATGGTCCACTTTGCCTTTGCCTTTCCCCATACGACTCCCCAAGGGCTTTTTTGTCACTGGGATGTGCGCCTTGATCATGTAGAGCTGCCTCGTTTTGGTTGCTCGCACGATGGCGAGGCGGGCGGATTCTAGAGCACAGTCCTTCACAAGCGCGGGTTGCGCGGCGTAAATCCCGTATTTTAACTGGTCCCGATACTTGTAGCGAATCGGAAGCGGAGTTTTTGTTGCACGATGACAGCAAAGCAGAATATTCGGCACCTGTGATTAAGCAATAGTTAAAAAGATCAGATATATTGTAAACGCATATTAAAACTGTGGTGTCGGCGGTGTTCGAACCAAACATTCCAATTCTGTGTAAGAATCAGATTCAGCCTGCGCACTGTATTGCGATACATAGAGCTATTTCGAGAAAGGTTGTCGGAAAAAGTCCACGCGACGATCCCGAAGGGTATTCTGGGTGGTTTAGACTGCACTGTTCTTCAAAGAAATTAGAAAGAAGGGCATGGGAGGCCACGGACTTATCTTTGCGAGTGCTAAAGGAAAGCAACAAAAGTAGGTTCGACAGCTACAGGGTCAGGAACAGTGTATTGATCATATCCCATATTACCTTTCGGTATTGTCGCGTGCATATTTTTTCTGACAACCTTTCTCGAAATAGCTGTATAGAATGATGGTGATTGCAAGCCCGACAGTGAATTACAAAGGTGTACTAATCATTATTTATTTATTTGTTTTTTAGTCAGTCACAAAACGAAACAATAAAGCGTTACAAAAGGTGTTAATTAAATTATAAGTTAATGTGACAAGGAAGCCTAAAGAAGCTGGGAGCTTATATTAATAGGCTTCCTTAATAGTCTATAAGCTAGATTTCTAATTACTTACTTGAGTTGTAGAGTGTACGGAAAACATAAAACTTAAGCAACAGAACGACCATCAATGAGATAATTTTTCAGATTTTTTTAAAAAACAAATATGGAAGAAAAGCTGGTTAGTGAAATTGACAACGAATTCCAGATTGTTGGTCTTCAATAAAAGATACTGAACTCCTTAATATTAATTCTACAAAAATGAGGTCTATACTGAGAGGCTAGGCGAGTTTCATAAAGGTGAACGAAATCTTTGCAAGCAACCAACTCTGCAACTCGACCGTATAGGGCTGTGTGTTGTGAAGATGGAGATGGACTCCAACTGGGAGTTTGGAATTAACTGTCACGACGCTAAGGAAAAGAATACTCCCGAGTCCTCGACACGAAACTGGGTTATGACTACTCGAACCAATGCTACGCGAGATACTTGGTGGAATGTTATCCAATCACCTGACTCATGCCCAGTGGTCTCTTATCATTTGTGCGCGGTCACGGATTGGTCGCGGGGAAACGATGGGGACGACGGGAAGGAGCGTCTTCCCCTTTCCCATCTTTCCCCGCGCGCATCTCTTACGCGCTTCGCTCGCCAATATTTTAACCAATTTTCTCCTGGAAATTTTGCCGAAAAATCGCCTATTAAAAGTTAGTCAAGCCTTTTTCTGGTCACTACCTGGTCAAAAAGAACCAAAGCTGCCTGAAACGCTGTTTTATAAGTCGAGCACTTCACTGCCTAAGTTTGAGCCTGATGCAAAATATCCGCTTCCAATTTGAATCCTTCCCGCCTCTTTCACTTTCGTTGCCCCGTTTTTTAAATATGTTTTTCTTTTGCTGGGCGTTCACTAGGCATTATTTTGGTGGAAAAAGTTTGTTGAAGAATTAGATGAAAGGAGATACAGGTGGGTGGTGGAAGAAGATTTTCATTGGAATTTTCGGGTCACCTATACATGGTTTCTTGCGCTTTTCTCCGGCCCGTTTGACTGAATAGTTAAAACGGATGACGTCACAAGCGTTACAAGTGACGTGATCAGCGCGGGCTGCTAGGAGCGGTTCAGGGGAGAATGGGTTAACAAAAGATTTTTAATTATTTTTTAGTACATGGACCAATAACCTGAAAGTATTTCGACAATGCAGCTGACAAAAATGTAACCTTGCCAACCCTTTCGAAAACCGGCAGTTTCGATCGTAAATTTTGCGAAAGTCCATATTTTGACGGAAACCAAAATGAAACTAGAAAATGGCAAAAGACAATCATTTGGGCTCGCCTCGAGGTTAGCTGGAGCTTAGCTAAGACACAGGTTTGTGGCAATACAAATGTAAGCTTTAACCTAAGGGAAGGACATAAGGATCGTCAAATAAAACACGTCTAACAATCACAAAGCCGTCATTACGGAGACCAAATCCAAAGAAACACTGAAAAATCGCTCATCTCTATATTATTTAATCAAAAGCGTTGTCTGCATAACTTGTCTGATGCCAAAATAGTCTGAACTTGATATCTACATTTCATCCTATTCGGGGTACCGTAGCACTAAGAATCGACATGCTATCAACTCAAGGTTTTCTTAACCTTCATAAAGGAAAGGTCTCTTACAGCACACAGTTGACAACAAAGTGTCTGAATTAGCAAGGTTGACTTTTTTAGAATCTGTTGATGGGACAAGAACAGAAAGTACATTGTCTGCTACTCGTTTGATGCCAAAATAATCTGAACTTGATGTCTACATTTCATCCTGTTCGGTGTTCTGTAGCGCTAAGAACATCGACATGATGTCAACTGAACGTTTTTTTTACCTTCATAAAGGAAAGGTGTGTTTTTAAACAGCACACAGTTGATAATAAAGTGTCTGAATTAGCAAGGTTGACTTTTTTATGAGAATCTGTTGATAGGGCAAGAAAAGAAAGTCCATTGTCTGCATTAATGTAGCCTGTGAACAGCAGACGCATTTTTCCGGTCGTCGCTTCTCTCCCTTCAAAGGGAGAGAAGCGACGATCGGAAATGTATCTGCTGTTTGCAGGCTAACGTTAATGGGTGTGCGTATAAAGTGGGTTGAATTTAGAGAAAATGGAAGAGCTTTCCCCAGGGACAAAGAAAACTGTCTGTAATAACGAGGTGTCAGTATTACGCAGATGTCCGTAAAGTGGGGTTTAACTCTAACTAATTTCTCCGGCTATATCTTTTACAAATACTATATGTAGCTCACGTGAGTTTAGAGGTCGAGCGTTTGGAGCAAGCGGCCATGGCATGTTTGACTATTTCAAATTGTGTTTTTGGATTTTGAAGAACGTCTTTGATTTTGGAGTGTGGATAATCATAAAGCAAAATTTAGAGGAGGTAGGTAAATTCCAAAAATAAAAATATTTAATTGCCTCAGCATATCTCATTTGATCACGTTTCAGTTTGGTTGCTCTTATGTACAAGGCTAATGTATCACGTTAATGTTGGGGCTAGACTTGGTCCCTGCCATTCTTTAGTCCTTTTATTTGACTCTTTATAAGACAAACAGCTCTCTAAAGCAGACTGCTACTGTCAATGCCCGCCATTCTGAAGTCATTTTCTTCACTTCTCTATGAGACGGACACCTCACTAAAATGGACATGCAGAGTTGGCCCCTGGCATTCTTTAGTCCTTTTATTTGACTCTCTATAAGATGAACAGCTCCCTAAAGCAGACTGCTACAGTCAATGCCTGCCATTCTGAACTCATTTTCTTCACTTCTCTATACAACAGACACCTCTCTAAACCGGACACCTAGAGTCGGCCCCTGCCATTCTTTAGTCCTTTTGTTTGACTGTCTACAAGACAAACACCTTCCTAAAACAGACACCTTATGTTGGTCCCTGCCATTCATTAGCCCTAAATTTGACAATCAAAAACATGGACACCTCACTAAGATGGATTCCTAAAGTTGGTCTCTGCCATTCTTTAGTCCCTTATTTGATTCTCTATAAGGCAAGCACCTTGTTAAAACGGGCACCTGAAATTTGGTCCCTGCCTTTCTTTAGCCTTTCATTTGACTCTCCAAAACATGGGCTCCTTGCTAAAATAGACAACTTAAGTGGCCCCAGCCTTTTTTTAACCCCTCATTTGACTCTCCAAAACATGGACACCTAAAGCTGGTCCCTGCCATTCTTTGGCCCCTTGTTTGACTCTGCATAACATGGACTCCACGCTAAAATGGACACCTAGAGTTGGCCCCAGCCTCTCTTTAACCCCTTATTTGACTCTCCAAAACATGGACACCTTGGTAAAATGAACACAAAGTAAGTCGGTCCTTGCCATTCTTTAGTCTTTGTCTTTGACTGTCCATACGATGTAACGATGTACAGCTCTCTGACAAGGACACTCAGTGCTGGTCCTAAATGTGTTCATCTTAGACAGAGTGGACTGTATTACCTTCTAAACAATGATGGAAGAGTTGGAAATAATTCTACTCACCTGTGTTGCTGATAGAAGGCCAAGGTAATTTTTCACAAAGCCCACAAAAGGCTGAAACACCTGAGATGAAAGTAATGTACATTACATTGGCATCCATCAAAAATTGACAACATACATTAGAGGGATCATTATTACCCCGTAGTTTTTTAATTGTTATTTGATTCTGACAGGTCAGTTGTGTATTGACAAATCACAATACTGATCTTATTCAGGGCTGGCATTAAGAGGCGGGGGCCGGGGATTTCCCCCAGTTGCTATATGTATAAACTTGGCTACTTTTGTGGGAAAATAGAAGAAAAATAGAACCAAAAGAAATCCTTTTATTCCCTGCCTACTTGTCGTATTTACCTGACATCTCAAAAACTTAGTGACATCCCTGCTTCTTCTTCAATAATAGACACAAAGCTATCTTTTTATAGTTATGTAGTTAGTAACCCAGACTGCCCAACCTTTTGAGTATGTAAAATTTGGAACCGACGAATCACATGAGCAAAATTTTGATGCTCTGAAACACTATTCTTGTGTTCTGGGAGGGCGATTTCTTTCTAAAATGTTCGCTAAATCAATTGTTATTTTCATGCCTATTTTTATTTGCAAGTTTTTACATACAAATACTCGATTTTGTTTTATATTTCAGGCGGTATATTTAAGGTTTTTGGGTATCAGTTTCAGTTAAGTACACTCTGTTAGGTGTTCTTGTGTACTTATCATAATTAAGAATTCGTTTGAAATTATCAAAACAGATGTCAAAATCGGAATTTTTCCTATCCCGATCGCATGTTGCTTGGGATTAGAGATTTTCAAGCAAAATCGGGACAATCCCCAAGAGAGTGGCTGGACTAACCTTCAGTAAAAGCGTTTAAAAGTAATAGCTTCGCTAGAGAATCATTCTTTTTTGGTCACAACCAAAGTCAAGTTTTCTCCTTCAGAGGAGTTAGGATAAAACATATTGGGGGAATGAATACTTTATGAAAGAATCTGAGTGTTTTGCATCGCTACATGCTAAGCACTCACTGCAATTTCGCTTCGTCATAATAACAGGTGGAATAACAAACCTTTGCTCTGCAAGAAAGAGTCCCCCATGCGGCCATTTTGGTTCTGGCTGCTTGCAAAGTACTCTGGGACCTTAAGTAATTTTTGTTTGCATATCCGCTGACCAGTGATGAAGCAAGAATGAAGATAACGCAAGGACTCACTCGATGGTTGGGAAGAAATCGCGAAAAGAATATGACGACTTTCCAGAAAAACATCCTGTCTGACCCAACCAGTGACGGAAATGTGTCAGAGTTCAATCAGATAGCTCCTTCAACTCCATCAGAACCGCCTTCGTATCAGACATTCCCAGAATTCGACAGGAGGCCTATAAATGAGCTTGTCAATAGCGATTCACTCACCAAAAGATGCCCAACTTGTGGAGGAACGGGGAAGCTCACCAAAGGTCAGCTTGTCTACTTTTTCAATGAGTGACTCATTCTGCGCGCGATAGAACTGTTAGGAAAGTCCTTTTAGTTTGAACAATAAGGTTTATCACTGCGTAATTTGAAACTAGAGCCTTTTAATATTAAACTTAAGCTTATGAATATCTCGTTTGCATGCATTTCAGAACGTGTCGCGCTGAGGCGTACAAATTTGATTAAGCCATTTAATACATAAATTGAAATTATTCTTTTGTTAATGTTGCTACATTTGCTGTTACTTCCTACCGTTCTGTGGACAGTGAAAGCTCTATTAAGCGGACCCCCAATTAAGTGGACACCCTCTATTAAGCGGACGCTAGGCCGAGTCCCAAAATGAACTTCTTATATTTCCCTACTCAGCGGACACGTCTATTAAGCGGACGCAGACTGCTAAAATAAGTTGTTTTTGGCTAATTTCTATTGTTAAAAACCTCTATTAAGTGGATACCGGACCGAATTGACAATAGTAGTATTGGATTAAGTCCATGAAATCAGTTAACGTTTTTGCATTTACACACAAATTAAAGATGGTAATGAACTTGAACTCTGGATAGCTTCTTTAACAACATAGAATTTTATCACAGTACAGAGTAACCATTGAATTTTGATCTTTAACAAACATTTGCACCCCCCCACCTCCCAGGATTTTAGGGGGTCAAATGACTCTATTTTTAATTTTAAAGAAATTTAATACTAACTCAGTTATGAAAATACGATACTTTTTATTACAACAGGAAGGTCCCAAGGTTTGGGTTGCAAAGTCCGTTCTAATGTTTTGTGTTTACTGTGACACGAACGTTATGAAGAGAACGTAAGTTTCACCCGCTTAAACAACTTTGCAAACGGTAGCAAGAAAAACCGTCTCGCTGTTTATATTTCTACAGAATTTGTCAGTTTCTTCAGGTTGACTGTTATCTAAGGGCCGAAAACTCCAACGCTGTATTGTAGATCGAGGTCTCTGCTCACCTGGTGGATGAGGTCCTCAGAAGTGATTTATTTAAAATGTTGTAAGAAGTTGTTGTTGAGTGTACTGTCATGTCATCTGTGTGTTGTCTGTGTTGTAAGCCACAACCTCCAGACCTTAAAGCTAATAATCTGAATGAAATTTTGCAAATAACGCAATATGTTTTTGTGCATCAGAAAATTGCTTTCAATGTTTTGTACATGGTCTGTCACAAAATATTTGTCTATTGGTTTGAACCCCCCTCCCCTCGGAATTTCCAATGATCTTCCGTGGGTGGGGTATGGATATTTTCTGGAACCACACATTAAGCAGACACTTGGGAAGGTCCCGAAGGTGTCCGCTTAATAGAAGTTTTACGCACTGTATCGTAGATCGAGGTCTCTGCTCACCTGGTGGATGAGGTCCTCAGAAGTGATTTATTTAAGGTGTAAGAAGTTGTTGTTGAGTGTACTGTCATGCATCTGTGTGTTGTCTGTGTGAGTCCCACACCTCCACACCTGAGAATCTGAGAAATTTGGAAATTGTGTGACAAAGATTTGTCTGTTGGTTGGTCGCCAAGGAGTATTGTGTAGTAGTCGAGTGAATTTGGTGGCGAAGCCATCACGAGCAATACCACCTGCCAGAGAAAATGATTTTTTTGAAAGCCGCCCGCTTTTACCACCTCAACAGAGAACTCTTATAGATTTTTTCAAAGAGTTCAAAAGGTCACGGTTTGTAATTTGTGATTGGTGGATTTTGATCCGTTTTTATTTCAACACAGGAAGAAATAATGGATTCCCATTTTTGGATATTTTAATTTAAAGATGTTCATTTCCCAAAGTTCAAAAGGAGACATGTCCCAACCAGGTTTGTAATTTGTCTCACTGGTGGGATTTTGATCCGTTTTTTATCCAAAAATTCCTTTTTTCCTGTGTGCAAGGTTCCTTGCTTGTGAGCATTCTGTTTCAGGCAATTATCGACTTGTTTGCTGTGGATTTTCTGATCTTTCTTAATATGAAATGTGTTCTTCAGCCTCACTTGTAACAATAAAGCAAAGTGTGCCTCCTTCCCTTGACAAAAATACCATCGCGATTTCCTTCGCTATTGAGCAGTCAAAACTTATTATCAGTTGTTGCTTTTGCTGAACCCTGTGGGCAAAATTGCCATAACAACACGCCCAGCAAGCAGCTGCCTCACAGCCGTTTCCTGCTCCCTCTTAAGAATAATTTTCTTTTTCTCTCTGCTCACATAAAGACGTTCTAGAGCTTTATTGATACTTAATTCAGCCGAGTCTGCCATTATTTTCCTCAACAGTTTGCCATCTGCTCCCTTGGGAAATTTGCAAAGGATCATTTAACATGATTGACATATGTATGGCCCTCGACCAATCCATTTTCTCCGCACACTGGTGTGCAGACTGTTCAGAATACTGGAGTTTTCTGGCAGGCAGTATTTCAAATGCCTCGTCCCCACTCCCTTTTTTGGATCACTGCTCCACTGCCAAAACTTTAATCGCACACCAAGACAATACCACCAGCTAGGCAAGCTAATTGGCTGGTTATGATGACCGTGCAGATAAAATGCCAGGGCTGTGCTGTCACAGAGCCCAGTGGCCCCTAACGCCCAACTTTTGCTCTCGGGCATCTAGAAAATCTCGGATTTTTTATACAAATCATATGCAAGGCACCCTAGATTTTACAGGTTCAGAGCACTGGGCTACCTTTAATTTTCCTTAGAGCACAGCCTTGAATGCACATTATTTTTAAGCTGAATATCTGCATGGTCTGGTGCAGTGAAAGCACCACTATTAACAGGAATTTGTATTTGTTGAAACTTTGTCAAAATTGTTCCAACTCACTAATGTGCCTTTGAGTGTAGGTACATTTTCCTGTAGTTGAATTTGTGAAGACCACACAGTCTAAGTTTAGAAGGAGAAAAAAGAATAGAAAGTGAAAGAAAAATCTCTTGTTGATAAATTCATGGGACTGCACCTAAGTTTAGAAAGAGAAAGAAAAAATTCGTTGTCACGTCCTCCATAAAATATTGCTGCCGGAAATTTCAAGTCTTATTTTTGCAGTGATAGCAAAGAAATGTACCAAAAGTGTGATGCATTTGCAGAGGTGTTGTTTAATAACATTAAACATATTATATCTTTGATGCTTACCGTAATGTCGGCCATTTTTGTAGCTAAAACTTCCTTTAATACGGTGGAAAAAGGTGTAAGTATGATGCTTCTGATTTTTTTGAAATTCCTCTTATCCCTGCCGCTGAACATGTCAAATGTCAATCTTTTTGTTTTCATCAGAGCAAGAACATGACCTAGTAGCATTAATTCCTGTGAGAGACAGAAGACTTAAGCCAAGAAGAACGTGAGTTATCTTCCCCTTAAGAAATATTTGTCATCATAGTCTGTAGAATTAAATATGGTTGTTATTATTTCCCCTGACAAGGCAAAACCCAACAAAAACAGAAAAATTCAGTCTTAAGTATTAATGTTGCAAATATATAAAATATATTGATGTCATCATTTTGAACTAAAGTGCTAAATCTTTGTAACATAAAACAAAATATTCAGAAAATTTAGAAGGTTTTATTGCTTGTGGTTCTTGTGGCAAATTGGCGATCAGTTCGGTTCATTTACTTGTCATTATAGTAAGATACATAAAGTTTAAATAAATAAAAGAATTAAGTAAACAGCAAGGGAGCCCAGAGGAATCTAAGAGGCCTGGCATGAGAAATCAATTGCCAGAGTCTGAAAAAGGGACAGAAAATCAAGGCAATGAAAAAACTTTCCTCTCTCCCCCCCCCCCCCCCCCACACACACACACACACACTATAGCTCTCCTGCTTCATTTCCTGGACAAAAAAAAATTCCCAGTCCCAATAGTGACAAACATCAATTTTCTCCCAACGATATCCATACCTTTTCAAGAGATAAGGTTATGAGAAACAATGAAATGATCACTGAAGAGAAAATGCTTTGATCTTTTATGAAATTCTCTCGACTGATTCTTTAAGGAAATGTATACCTGTAGATCAGTTTGGAGAAATATGTATGTGTACATTGGGGCTTAAAGGGTTAAAATATTCAATAATAATACATTTATCTGGAAAATTATGTTTTAACCTTAACTGTTTCCATTCTAGAGAATAAGATTTTTCCGCGTTTTTGAAAATTAGCAAAAAAATATGCTCTCGTTAATTGTTATGAATTACCTAGGGATTTTTTTAGAGTATTTAAGGAGTGTTGAATGCAAATTTAGTCCTCTTGGTGATCTCTCTGGAGGCACTCACACACAATAGCATATGGTGTCACTGTCATTATTGTTGTCACACACGGGTATGGTGTCTGTAGGGAATTTAGACGAGAGTGAATGACTCCAAAGCTTCCCATATGTAAGGTAAAGTTTTCATGTTAATGTTATTTTTCAGGGTCCTGTATCTCCTCTTGGCAATTTTTTTCTGCTTGGTGATCGCCACAGTCGTCGGAGTCATCTTTTTCCCTAGAAATATTACAATTCATTTGGAAAGTGCTGCTCCGGTGAATGTTTCAATACCAAGATCAAACAGTTCAGATCCGTTTATCATTATAAATGTGAGTATTGAACAGTTTGTGCTCCCAAGTTTTCATTGCACATAGGTAGAATTTTTTTCCGTGGTTGGTTGTTTCCTTTCTTTCTGTTTCTATTATACACTTAATGTCAGATCTCGAGTTTTGTTTTCCCGACAGTCCTGATAACATCAGGACTCGAGGGAGAACACAACTAACTTGTTTCCCGACGGACCTTACCTGGATATTGGCCAAGTCTTTTTTTTTTTGCATTTTTTATTGACCAAGATGAAGTTGAGGTCAATAAAAATGTAAAAGAGAACTAGGCCAGTATACAGCCATCTCGAACAAACCAGCCTGGTCAATAAGGAATTTATTGTACGGTCCCTTTTGGGACCAACATGGGAAATCATAGGCAAGATGAGCCCAGCTTGTCCGCTCAATTAGCCAATCAGAACGTAGAATTTGCTTTATCTTTCCCGCCCGCAGACTCAACCCTATTATAAATATATTACCGTAAATCCTCTATTAAGCCCCCCCTCTCTAATAAGCTCCCCCCCTCCCCCTCCCCTCCATCCTTATTCTTCACAAACAATAATATTAACATGGACTGATCAGTTATGGTTTCTTTAGGCTGGAAATTCATAAATTTTGTTTTTGGTCTTCGGCTGCATGACCTCCAACTTCATGTGCTGAACTTTTTCAACTTCATGCTCTAGTTCTGTGTGGAGAATTGTTACCAGTTTCTTATTGTTAGAAAAGGCAGTATAACGATCGGGAACCACAAGTCTGTCCCATTGATGCATTTTGCTAAATTAAATAAGCCACCCCTCTCTTTTAAACCCTCTCTCTCTATTAAGCCCCATCTCAGAAGTGCTTGGAAAAAATAACAAGTCTCCCTGGGGGGCTTAAAGTGCCCATCACCTAAAATTTTATATTTTTTTATCTGAAACCATACCTTATAAAAATAACTTCTGCAAAAGAATTTTGCGATTTGAACAAAACGCGATTTTTGTACCAATTTTTGAAGTCTACATTTTTGCGGTACACCTGCGCCACTGATCATGCAAACTAGCAGGCTCACATATGACGTCATGTGACACAAATTAAGGAACTCACATTACCTTGCCTTCACCAGCTGTACACAAAAAAGATAAATTACAAGTAAGGATTGAATCACAATGTCTTCGTAAGAAGAAAGTTTTTCTGTAAAAGAAAAACCTGTCAGAACTCTTAACGTTTTCCTGTCGATAAGGTCACGTGTTCCTTAAAGTACGTCATATGACGTCATAGTCCGAGAGAAGACTTAGACGAATGGTGTGCCAAAATGGCAGCAAATTTGAACGTTTTTAAAAAATTCTAAAAAAATCATCTTTGGTTCAAATCGCAAAATTTTTTCGCAGAAGTTATTTTGATAAGGTGTAGTTTCAGATAAGAAAATAAAAAATTTTAGGTGATGGGCACTTAAATAGAGGATTTACAGTAAATAGACGTAGGGTTGAAGTTATACAACGCTTTAAGAGATTATGAAATCAGGGAGTGATGGAGTGGGGTGGTTTCTGTGGCCCCCCAGTGGTCCTCAATGCTATGGGATGGATGCATAGGTGCATATATACAGTTAGTCTGTTTTCTCATAGAAATCGTCTTATTCACAATAATATTCATTATATTTTGATCATTTTGTTACTTTGCAGAGTACTATCTCTATTCACAATTCCAACTTTTTTGAGGCACATCTGGACCATTTTAACATTGAAGTTAACTGGGAAGACTATGTGGTGGCAAATCCTGATATCCCAGGAGGTGTTAGAGTTAAGCCACGTTCTACCCTCAATGTATGTGCTTGTAAAACTAATGAATAATATATGACTTAAGATCAAGAGTCACATAGAAGTTATTAGAGACCTTTAGCTGCTAAGATGAGTACGACAATGAGTACGAGATTTTCTCAATACTAAGTAGTGCTCTCGTGTGAACCAGCATTATTTTGGCGGGAAAACGTAGTAGCCGTCTTCACTCTGCTACTAGTTTTAGCTACTGCTAGAATGACGAAGTGGTGAAAACAAGTTATAATGTTAGAAATTTTATCATTTTGCAGTCGGGAGAGGGTGTAACCTCCTTCACTAAAGGTAACAGTGCTAACTTTTCTACTGAAAAATGGTAAAATAAGCTTTCCGGGGAGTTTATATTTTAAAAATATGCGAAAAAGCTTTAAGTCAAATCTTGTACTTATTGTCTTACTCATCTTAGAATCTAAGGGTCTCTGTTAAGGAGGCAGCTTGGCCGAATGGTTAATTAAGGTATCATCCAGGGTAAAAAATCATGATTTTTCGAAATTTGCAATTTTTAAATGATTAAATAGAGCTAGTCAAGAGCTTTCTTTTAAAAAAAATTCCAGGAAAAAATGTTTTTTCTGTGCAGACTTATGGAATGCAAAATTTTTTTCTATGCTAATTATTTTAATTGATCGTTGACAAGTCCTGTCATACTTGATATGTATGTCGCTGTTGAACCAAGCTAATCACGCAATTTGACAGAAATCGTGGTCTACAAGTATAGTACTCACTGTTTTTCCCAGATTTTGTTAGTGAAAGCTTGTCCATTTTCGTACACGACTCCAAGAAGAAAGAAGATGACAAAATCGTTTTGCAAAGAGTGGGCTTTGAAATTAGCAGAGAGCGACAGGGGCTACTACTACAATCAAGAAGAATGGCTAAAAGATGACAAAGCTCCTGAAAAACCATTGAACCCATCGCGGAATCGAGTTTAATGAGTTTCTTAGCGAGCGCGGCAAGCTTTTTTGGCCGCGAAGCGGTCAGGCACGCAACGAAGTCGCGAGAGGTCCGGTGCCATATAAAAACCGGACGAAGGACTGTTTTGAAAGTCTATTTTAGTGGGAGAGAAGCTTCAAGAAAAACTCCAGGAAGCAGTTTGTGGTCAATTTTTTCAGGGAAGTGTCGAACTTTTAGAAAATGTATTGAGTAAAAGTGGGCTTGGCTCAACTTGGCTTGCCTAGTGCAAAAATGATAACTCCCCGTCGCAAATAGGTAATGATGCTTTCTAGACAACGGAAAGTATCCAACAGAGCAAAGCCTCTGAAATAAATTGTTGTTGGGTTTCGTTTTTAACCTTTTCCTGCTGTGTCACTATTGTTGTCCCTTCTCTGGTATATGCATCAACATTGACAGCTTTAGTCTTATAATCTGTCATAATCTCGTCACGGGTAATACGCCACCAAAACTCTTTTTCCACTGTTTTCTCGAAATGAAAATCACAGCAAGATGACGATACATTTTAAACTCCAAGTCGCCAACCCGTGAACCAATTTGGCTGAAATTTGGCCAACTTAATGTCGGATAGTTTTTCTAAAAAACCGTGTTTGCGAATTTTGATTTCTTTTTTCGTTTTCGAGTTAGAGTATTTTTTTTCACAGGTAGTGCTAACGATTTGCTATCCCTAACTTCTCCTGCTTATAACAACAGAACAAACGCACTTGACAAAAATCTGAGACATGGTTTTTCAGCCAAACATGTTGAGAAGCGAATGTGTTCTTAATTGGCTTCTTCCGTTAATTTTTGGCTGGACTGGACTTAAATTTACAGTAACACCCACTTTCACAAAAAGTTTCTCATTTCTAAATCGCATTTTTTTGATTTTTTAAAAGAAGTAAGCAATAATCTGGAACTATTAAGCATTCAGAAAATGTATGGTTTATGGGGGTATTTGTTAAAAGCAAAAGCGCTAGCGCCGATCAATGCGAGGAGGGTGCTTGAGGGTGGATGATACCTTAAGCAGACACTTGGGAAGGTCCCAAAGGTGTCCGCTTAATAGAGGTTTCACGCACTGTATATATTGTAGATCGAGGTCTCTGTTCATCTGGTGGATGAGGTCCTCAGAATTGATTTATTTAAGTTGTAAGAAGTTGTTGTTGAGTGTACTCTCATGCATCTGTGTGTTGTCTGTGTGAGTCCCACACCCTCACACCTGAGAATCTGAGAAATGCAAATAGCAATACGTCATCAGAAAATGTGTGACAAAGATTTGTCTGTTGGTTGGTAGCCTGTGTAGCTGGTGGTATTGTGTAGTAGTCAAGTGAGCGTAAACCGCGAGAAATAGAAATACTGCCTGCCAGAGAACCATAATTTTTTCAAGCCGCCCACTTTTATAACCTCAACTTAGCGGACCTCTTAGGCAATAGATGTTCATTTTTATTTCAAGGTTCCTTGCTTGTGAGTGTTCTGTTTCAGGCAATTATCGACTTGTTTGCTGTGGTTTTTCTGATCTTTCTTAATATGACATGTTTTCCTTGGCCTCACTTGTAACAATAAAGCAAAGTCTGCCTCCTTCCCTTGACAAAAATACCATCGCGATTTCCTTTGCTATTGAGCAGTCAAAACTTATTATCAGTTGTTGCTTTTGCCGAACCCTGTGGGCAAAATTGCCATAACAACACACCCAGCAAGCAGCTGCTTCACAGCCGTTTCCTGCTCCCTCTTAAGAATAATCTTAAGAATAATCTGTTTCTCTCTCTGCTCACATAAAGACGTTCTAGAGCTTTATTGATACTTAATTCAGCCAAGTCTGCCATTATTTTCCTCAACAGTTTGCCATCTGCTCCCTTGGGAAATGTGCAAAGGATCATTTAACATGATTGACATATGTATGGCCCTCGACCAATCCATTTTCTCCGCACACTGGTGTGCAGACTATTCAGAATACTGGGGTTTTCTGGCAGGCAGTATTTCAAATGCCTCATCCCCACTCCCTTTTTTGGAGTAGTTTTTTCACAGGTAGTGCTAATGATTTACTATCCCTAACTTCAACTGCTTATAACAAAAGAACAAACACACTTGACAAAAATCTGAGACACGGTTTTTTAGTCAAACCTGTTAAGAAGCGAATGTGATCTTAATTGGCTTCTTCCATTTATTTTTGGCTGGCCTGGACTTAAATTTCCAGTGACACCCACTTTCACAAAAAGCTTCTCATTTCTAAATCGCGTTAATATTTTGATTTTTTATAAGGAATAAGCAACAATCTGGAACTATTATAAGCTTTCAGAAAATGTATGGTTTATGGGGGTATTTATTAAAAGCCAAAGGGCTACCGCCGATCAACGCAAGGAGGGTGCTTGAGGGATGATACCTTAAAGTGCTGGAATTGCAATCAGAAGGCCCTGTGTGTCTGTGGGGATTTTTATGCATCAGGGGTGCAGGAGGCCGAAGTAACAAAATCACTGTATACTTGCTGTCCAGAATCACATCCTCGTGCAGGTGGTATGAGGGAGTTCTCCCTTGTGGCACCATTAGTGTAAGTAGCACAGTTTGTTAGTATACATTTGATGAAATCAGGAGTAGTTGTACTTATCAAGGAAATTTTTCCATTACAGCATACATTTTACGTAACGACTACATACGCAAATCAAGAGGCAGACAAAATTAGGTAAGTTGTTTAGTGGTTTTAGTTGTTTAGTGAACTACAATGTAGGAAGATTAAGACAGAATCCATCAGAAAGTTGAGTAATTTTAGTTTTCATTGGACAAAAATCTTGTACCAGAATAAATTAAATCATATCACATTCTTTTTTACATTTTTCAAGGGCTATAGATATCAATTAGTTATCTGTAATAACACCAAAGACAATTCCTTATGGAAGCCGGAGAAAACTGATTTCATACTGCACAGAAATTGTGCAAACACAAGTAAAATTTCATGCATAAGATTTCATTTTGTGAAATTTAAACCTTTTGAATTTTGTTTTCTCGGGCTCCAATAAGAATTTTCTTTGGTATAATTACAAAAAACAAATTACATCTATAGCCCTTGAAAAGTGTAAAAAAAGAATGCAATATGCTTTAAATTATTCTGGTACAAGATTTTTGTCCACTGAAAATAAAATTTACTCAATTATCCAATGGATTCTGTCTTGATATATTTCTACTTACTTAGTACCTGTACGTCAGTGCATTTGAATGCACAATAATCTTCATCTTTTTTTAATATGACTCTGGGCATGAGTGATTTATTGAAAGTTTTCACAAGTTCTTATCAACATCCTCATAACTATTCATTGGTTCTAATTCCCATCCTGTTTCCTAACTCCCAATTCCCACCTTTTATTTCCGTTATTCTTACCATTTCCTCATGCAGCCCCCTTCCTCTGCTCTCACAGTTCCAATCTTCTTGCCCCCGGTTTCCACCATTTGTCCCCCTAATCCCTGGTCCCTGGATCTTCTCACAGTTTTTAACCACCTTTTCACAGTTCCTCTTGGTTTTCTTCCAATTACCATCTCTTTGCTCCACTTTCCCATTCTCTTTTTTTCCTATCTCCCTTTTCTCATTCCTGGGGTCAATTTAATAAAACTTTTCCACGTGCAATGCACCTATCAATGTAAACACCGTGCGGGGGGAGTGCAGGCAAGGGGTGGGGATTTGACAAATTTTAAAATTTTTTGATTAAATTCCCCAGGGTGGGAAACGAAAGGTCAGTCAAAAGTGTCAAAAAAGCCCCCACCCCAGGGGAAAAATCTAAACAAACAATACTATAATACTATATAAAACGAATAAAAGAACATTTCAAAAGTACGTTCTTACTACTTTTATTTAAGGTTAACGTAAGTTCCGTTAAATTACTTGCTGTAATAATTAAGTATTTTCTCTCTCCACTAGCATCTCTTATTTTGAACAACATAATCGTTCCAGGAAGATTGACCGTGCTATTATATTAATGAAACGTAAAATGCTTTATAACATCTACTCAACATGTCGGAACAGGTTGGATCAGTGACCCATAAAAAATCCTCTGACTTTCATGGTAAAACTGGATTTCAATCGAGGTTTACAATCAGATGGGAACTTGAAGATAAAAACTTTCTCAAAATAGACATTATCTGTTTAGATGACGGTGTAAAGTATCGGATTATGGCGATTAAAACAAATGAAAACTTCATACCTTTCTCCAACAGCGTGACTTTCCGAAATCCTCGAGGGACGGACTTGGTAACTGCTTCTGAATTGATACCAGGCTTCTATCGGTCAAAGTCAAATGTCCCGACCCCGGGGTCGCTTCGCACGATCAAAAGCCCGACAGGGGGATAGTCTCAGGCATCAAATCCCCTCCCCTTGCCTGCCCTCCCCCCCCCCACGGGATTTACATTGATAGGTGCATAATTTACAAGTGTAGCCATTGTTTTAGAGTCTGAGAACAATAGCTACACTTGTAAATTACCCTTAAACTCATCACAAATAGATGTTCTTGGGAGCTGGTGCCTTAACCCTTTAAACTCTACGATCAAAATTTGAATTCTCATTTGTTGCCCCTATTCATTTCCAACAGAAGTAGTGGGGAGAAATTGATAAAATATAAAGTAAATTCATCTTGTGTGATCATGTTCATAATTCTCATAACCACTCTGTTTTTTCAAAGCATTGAAATTACAGCAGGGTGCCAGATGCCATAGCCGCAGGGAGGTATCCATGGCAACCCTGGAATGTGGGAACCACCCAAACGAGCACCCGCTAGCCAGCACCGTCACACTGAAAATCAGTGGAAATAACTTACCTGAAAAGATACTTACCCTGGTAACCAAAAGAGGGAGGGAGGAGAGGGTGCAAGAATCTGCAATGATTTGCAATAGCTAAGCTTTAGATCCACAAAGATCAGCTGATGACACTGAAAATGTAAATCAATGAACCTTGAAACCCTGCAAAACCCGTGAAGGCCACCCCAAAGGTCACGTGTTGCAGATGAGGAAGACCGCTGGCTGCATTTGCTCAAATTTAACTTTGCCTAAATGATATTTAGCCACTTGTGTAAAAGTTTTATTAACTTGACCCTTGGTTGCACCCTTTCTGTTCCAGTTTTGTCCTCTTTTTCCCAGTTACCACGCGGCTTCATTGGGAAAAGTTAATTAAGTTATCTTCTCTTTTGGCAGGAGGGTCTGTTGTGGTTGGTCATTTAATCTGGCCTTTTTGATAACGTGAGTAAAATGCCTTCATATATAATACAATATGTTCTGTTAGATACGTGTATGTCAGAAAGGTTATTAAATTTTTATCAAGACAGGAAGAGTGAAAATAAATGTAACCAAATCAGTGAAATTTACACATTTCTTTTATTGGGGCTGAGCTCTGAGTTACCTATAATGGATAGAAAATGATGGGTGGTCAAATATCGTTGTCTTCTGTACCGTTTTATTCCATTGATTGGGGAACAAGGTCTCCTTGTGTGCATTTTTACTTTTCAGTACATTTCATTATTACATTGTAAATTTTTAAGCACATTCTTGACAACACTTGTTTAAAGGGGCGTGTCTCAGGCCAAAGCGTTGCAAGGGTGCATGCCACGATCATTCATGTGTGTGGTTGCAAAACATGTTTCCGCAAAAAAATGATATTTAGGTCAAGCCAATTAGTAGTATCACTACCCAGATCTGGGTACTGTAGGGACATAATTATCATCAGTATGGAACTTCTGCACTTGTTCTTCAGTTGTTAATTTGCAAGGAAATCTGTGGTGTTGTTGAAAAATTGCAGTTGTTTTCTCAGGCTATAGGCATATGCCTCACTGATACAACCATTAATTTTTACTTTTGCTATTTTAAACTTGCATGATTTTACTTGTTGTACATCACAATCCCAAAGTGTTTCTATTAAAACAGTTTTATTGCACCATTTATTACTCTTTATTTACAGGGTTTCAGCCAAGACCCACTCTCTGACAACATCATCTGAGGCGTCAGATTACAGATTTAAATACATTAACTGCCAACTGAATGGACTGAAGTGGTGGAAAACATGCTTTGATGATTATTGAAGCAAGGTTGGGGTCCTGCAACAATACTGTGAAATAAGTTATGGATTCCCGCAAATTATTATTTCACTGAACAGAAAATACTTGTTTTGATCGATGGATAATGGAAGTTTCAATGGCAAGATTTTTGAATAAAACCATTATTAGCTTCTTGCTCAGTGGCTTTCATATCAATGTTCACACCTCAAGATTTAACACACGCAGCTAGAATTGTCCTTGGATGTGAAGTACAGTGATCCTGGAATTGACTCTCTCACTGAGAAGTGGTTCCCTGTTACATGTATAATTTACCTACCAATGGTGTGAAAACTCTGCTAGTAAAGTTATTGCAGGTAAGAAGATTGCTAGATTACAGGTATGGATTTAGGTTGCCTGTGTCACAGATAGAGTTAAAATTCTTGTTAAGTCCATCTGCAAAAGAGTAGCCAAGTCCTTGTACTGGGTCCCCCACCTGTGTACCAGGATTTGGGTAGACGCCATGATTGTCCTGTTTAAAAAGCCATTACCGATTTGCCAGTCAAGTTGAAGGGAAATTTGTTGTGCATTTGCGGTTATTCATTGAGTCCATAGAGAGGAGACGTGTGACATCACGTCACCATGGTAGCACTATTTCTGGATGACAACACAACCAACGACAACGGCCGGTGACAGAAGGAGAACGGCAAAAAAGTAATAGGTTTTTATTGACAAAACAACAAATTTGCATGTGCATCATGCTACTTTGTTCATTTCTTTGCCATCGTTGCGCCCCTGCGACATGAAACTTCCTAATTTCACACTTGAATAAGATCGATGTAGTTTGAAGCAGTGTGAATTCACTTTTTAAGGAATGTTTTTGGTTTGTTGTCATCCAAAAATTTGCTACCATGACAACATGACGTAACGACCTCTCCTTTCTATTGGGAAGCCAGAACAAGGATATTGCAATGCTTGGCAGACTTTACAGGCTAGGATTTGGAGAGAATTGTTAGATTTGCGTTACAAATCGTGACGATGTTTTAAAGTGGGATATCTGAGGGTAACTATTGCTTAGTAGAGGGTGCCTGTGGTACTGACATTGGACCCTTGATCTCGAAGAACATGTTGCATCCACTTTTAGCTGTCAAAGGTCTGTTAGGTAGTAAATGTACTTTAGGCAAAGAAATTTTGAGCCTTTTGAGGGAACAATGGTTGTATAGTACCAGTGATCAGTCAGTGCAGTGAGTGGACATTACAGGACATTGATTGCTGAAAATGTTGGTATGGATGCAATTTTATTTTCAGCTGCAGACAGTAAGAGGGAATTGTATCATTTCAGGGCTGTCACTAAGGGCTCGGAGCTAGGGGCCTGGGAACTGTTCAATTCCCCCACCTCCCTTCCCTTGTATTTGTTTTTGTTTCTTTTTTTGGCTTTGCTTTCGTGGTTTATTTTATTGGTCTTGCTTCTTATTTACTGCGCTTTTCAAAAACACACGAACTCTAAAAGTTCAAAAGCCGCCTTTTCAATTGCATTTTTCGCTGCTGTCAATCATAATTACGAATACAAGCAACAAACCCTGAAACACAGAAACACACAAAATGGATCAAAATCCACCAATCACAAACCATGAATTTTTGAACTTGTTAAAGTAAACTTCTGTTTCCTAAGAGGTCCACTAAGATGATAGACAGTCATGAAAAATGCAAATGTTAGTTGGGTTTTGAACTTCAGAATTCCCGTGTTTTTGAAAAGCATAGTAATCAAGTTCTCTCAACCAATTAATCAAGAAAATACCAAAACTATGGTTCGCGAGCATTTTTCAGACTGATAAAACTTGAAATCAGTGCCTATTTGAAAATTTAAAGATTATTTCTATATGCTTCATGTTTTGAACTTGACAGAACACTGCTATTCAGTTTATTAAGCAGCTCATTACAGTGCAACTGCGGTAACCAGGGCCACTTAGACATAATCGACCAATCGTATCACATAAAAAGCAAACATTCCGCAAATGTGTCCCAGAAACCAATATTTATTATTTGATGATGTTTTTCTTGGTTGAAACTTTAAATGTAATGCTTGGGAGCATTAATTTGTCATTTAACAGCAATTTCGTTGCTAACACCCTTCAAAACAGAAATTCAACCAACGTTTGCGTTGTTAACTGAATGACCTCTCAGGAAACATGGGCTCTTTAAGGTCACATTGTTTGATTGTAATTGGTAGATTTTGTTCTGTGTTGTTTATTTCATTTTGTAGTGATTATGATTGACTTCTTGGAATGTATTGTTATTGTTATGCTATTGGCTTGGACAATTTTGTCTAGGTGACTCCTAGGTGACCCTGGTTAAGGTTTATTAACACTGTTTTGGCAGTTTTTTAGTGTATGTCATCTGCCAAATCATGGCAAGAGAAAGGTTGCAGCTTGAAAGCAGAAACTTGGCAAGTGAAAAATATACTGAATATATATATTTAATATTTAAAATTTGGTAAAAGTAAAAATTTTGCCAAATATCACAAACTTTTAATGAGTAGATTTTGAGAAATCGTCCCCTCTGTACCATTGCCTTTTTCGCCGCCATGTTTGTTTGTCAAATTTAAAACACGCGCTACCGCTGACCGCCTGCAAAACTGTGTTCAGCCACCTTAAAGAAGGCGCACTGTAAAATATGATTAACAAAGGATAAATGATATGGCTTAAACTGCAAAATTTCTCTTGTGAGATGAGGCAATCAATACCAAGAGCAAGAAAGGCCTGATTTATGTAGGCGTTTTGAGGCATGTTTAAGTGAAGTGTTGTTTTTGTCTTTTTTCATATTATATATACATATATATTGATGTGAAATGTCAAGCAATAGCAAAGCTGTTATAAATAATATTAACTGTAAGAAAGTAATAATATAATAATAATTCAATAATGATTATTGAAATTTAATTTGACTTAGCTAAAATTTATATTTTGGTACAAAGTTTGTAAATTTTTGTTTGACTTTATCTTAATGTAAAGGTAATATCAAAATTTCCTTAAAATGTTCTTCTGTGAACTGATGGAATGAACTTTGTGTTTATCATTCCCCTCTTTTTTATTTTGGAACCGCTGCATTCAACTCAGAAGAGAAACTGGTGACGAGATTGGAGAAAAATCCCGAAAACTTTTGACCTTGAATGTATTTGTGACATACTATCCATTTGTGATGTAAAACCGATAGCCAGTATAATAAAAAGAATTTCTTTAACTATTCTATCTTGATACATAGAGCGAATGTAAAAACTCTCATGTCAAGTGGGGAAAAAGCGGGGGAAATATATTTGTTTTATTATTGTCCTTTCATAAAGTTTGTCCTTTACTATTAAATTTGAACTTAGAACATGCTCTTTGTACTAAAATAGCCGTGATGTATGAGATGGGAAGTTTGAATCAGATATTTTGTTAACACTCAATTTTCATGTTTAAAAGATGTTAGCAAAATCACGTTACTAAAATTGAAATGAAATTTAAGACCTCTGTTTCTTGTGGGATTCCAAACCAAAGATCAGTTATAGTCGGGTCAGAACTGGTCGCTATTTCTGTCTAATGTTTAATCCTCTACTAATCCTTAACAAATAGTACTCTAAAAAAAAAATAAACAACCACAAAAAAAAAAAAAACAGTTTCAACAAATTTGAAGTAAGAGTCCTTTAAAAGATGAAACAAGAGCTCTAAACCTTGATTCTTTAACAGCCTAAAAGAGAGTCAAAGAACGCCAGGATTGCTTCCAGTCTTCAATCACTCTCCCCGAAGAGGGAACGGGGGGTGGGGGAGGGGTTGTAAACGTTTCTAAGCGCGGTTGAAGTGTTTGCGGCGTTCCCGTCATGTCCTGCTTCATGCCAGTGGGCCACCAGATGGGCGACGTCTTGAACACTAGTCTCCCACGCATACGTTCTTTTGCTTCTTCACGTGTTCTTCCGCACGTTCGTTCTCAACATCCCCATTTCCCTTTCGACAACCTGCGACACAGGGTAGCTGCTCTATTGATAACAAGTGCTGCAACATTTGTTGATCTGAACCGTGTGTCACTATTTTTGGTTCGTGTCTAGACTGCGTGACAATTGAGGGTGAAATTACCTGGTGAGCCCCAAGACACGCCCTCGTAGGAGAGGAACAACGCCTATTTGTTCCTTTTTTTTTTTCGCCCTCTCACCCTCCTATGCCCTCATCGAGACAAACACTGCTGAAAGGAGATTATACATTATTATTCTACATTCGAGATATCTATTAATATTTCCTCCCGTGCTCCAACAGCTTTCATTTAAATCTACTCACGTCACATACCCATTTTTAGTTTTTATACACATGATGCGCCCTGATCTCTAGTTCAAGCGAGGAAAATCGAAATCGAAGAAGGAACTTTTCATGGTTCATATGTTATTGGTCAGCTCCTCTTCGCCTCTTTCAGAATCAGTTTTGTGCTATGGCGCGGTTCATTTGTGACTTCTTTACTGAACCAGACCTTTCTCAGTGATTTGGCATAACAGCTTGTATATTAGTTTGCAGTCGTCATTCTGATGTCTAATTTTCAAACTTGCTGATAGTAAACTGCGGAATGCCTGTGATGTTGCTTTCGGGGAGGGGGGGTTGGGGGCTACGCAAAAACGTTTAATACAGGGAGGCTCCCCCGTGAAGTCTAACCCCCTACCCTTTGATATACCAATTTTTTTTTCACTGAAAGGGTACCCCTAAGTAGCTAGCGTTTTTTCGAAACTGATTTTAATCTAAGGCCCTTTTGAAGACCTTAATGACAAATTTCTCTTTCTTTCTTAGACTTCAACCAGTGATATCCCTTTTCTTTTATATACCCGAGGCCTTCTGGGCGGACCCGCCACGTATGACCTCCCCCCCACCGCCCCACCCACCGCAGGCGTTGCTCCTCAGTGAGTCACGTCACCACGTCTTGGACTTGAACGAACGCACAACAGCCCTTATTTTGCGTAGGTCAAGAACGCGCGAAGATCTCAGGCGGACCGTCCTGTTCTCTGCTCAAAATTATCTCGTAGCTGTATGAATCGTAAGATTAATTTGCGATTGATTCCTGTGGCGCTAGCGGCTTTGTGTTAGGATGTTTTTGACTCTTAATAATATCTTTGGCAAATGTTGGTTGTTGATTCTTTTTTCTAATACTCAAAGAGATACATGTATTACCAGAAACTCATGAGGGGTTGTTCAACCCCTATTACCTAAATGTATTTTTTAACCGTACGTGATTCACAGATTCAAAAATTACTCAAGGCTTCAAGCTATTCAAGCTACCAACCAAAAAAAAAATTGTTGTTTACTTCTCTCCAAATGGCAAAAACGGGTGTGAAAGATGATACGGTGTTCAATACTGGCTTTTTTCCAAACCGGAATCACCACTGGAATCAGCCTTCTTGGGAAGTTTTTCTCAAGTTTCCAAAATTGAGAGTTTTGCTGAAAACAACAAATCGCTGAAATAAGAAAGATAGATCTGGTACTCCTGATTTTACGTGATCGTAAGATTATTAACGTACCGTAAAACAAACGGTTGTTCCTCCTTTTCGAAGAACTAAAGTGACGTCAAATAATTCGTCACGATCGTGAATAAAATTTGACCTCAGTTGACTCTTGCCCGTTGAAAAATGATCACGCTTTATTGAAGTTTTGTATCGTTTTACATATTTTATATAGAATGTTTACTAGTTTCTTTAAAAGAATGGAAATTTGAAAAACGCTTCTTATTGCCTCCTAAGAACAAACAAGAATGTTATGCTTTTCACAGTTGGAGATAAAATGCATTAGACAAATGAAAAATCTATTTTCTTGACAACGGAAAAACACGGTCGTAAGGTAATCCCTCGTGACGTCACTAACACCTTCACTTGACAGATTCCGTAACAATCTTCCCACTTATTTGAGTTCGGTGTGCGCAACAAGTTGCTAGAGAAGACCTTCGCGAAGACAGACGAAAACTTGTCACTGAAAAATAAATCGATAGGGCTGTTGCGTTCTTTTTCAACTATTTCGTAAAGTCTTTTCTGAGGAATTTAAACTCATTGACAACGACTAATACTTTGCGGGAGTTAAAGAACTGCAGGGACCGATCTCAGCAAAACAAGAAGATGGGAAATTCTTGCAGTGGTTTGCCTCCAGATTGTGAGATTATTGTGAAAACTGGAGATGTTAAAGGTGCAGGAACAGATGCAAATGTATACTGCGCTCTTTACAACGAGGACAAAACTCGCTCGCGTGACTTAAACCTTGACTGCAAGTGGAAGAACGACTTCGAAAAGGGCGCTATTGATCGCTTTAAAGTTCATTGTGGTCTTCCTCCTGGTCCTTTGCACAAGTTGGAAATTTGGAGAGATGATAGCGGCATCGGAGACGACTGGTACGTCGAGTGGATCAAAGTGAAAAAGCTCAATAACCCGGACGAAGAAGAACCAGTCATCTTTCCTTGCAATCGCTGGGTGAAAGCCAAGCGCAAGTTGGTGTTGACCATTTACGACTGTGTTTTGCCTCAGTTTGACGAGCATGCTGAACAGAGAAAGCAAGAGTTAGAAGACAAGCGGGATGTTTATCGAATGGCTCGCAAAGCCCCTGGCATTCCTAAGCAGGTAGAAGTTTTCGTGTATTCATGTATAATTAATCCGCGTAATTTACAGAAACAATTAATTTTTCGAGGGTTACAACAACAACAACATAACTTATAACTATGCAACGCGCCTGTTCGAATTGCGTGTCAAAAATCGTGTAATTCCAGAGAGAGAGTTTTAAAAAAGCTTGAGCAAGATATTTACTTCTTTCTTTTTCCTCAATTGAGAGAAAAAGTATCTTTTGCTCTTGTTTGTTATGCAATATTTATCAATGGGTGGACGCATAGCTGCTAATATTATTGACATTTCATAAAGATACCGTAAACGCAAATGTTTTGATTTTGTTTTGATTACTTCTTTTCAAATCTTTTCCCAACTGTTGTAGATCGAGAGTTGTCCAAGAGACGAGAGTTTTAGCAATGATTACAAGGTATGTTGTGTTTTTATAAGGAAGACATTTTTATTTTAATTCACGTGTAAATACTAATGTGAGTAATTGAATTTCCTTTTAAAGAGATGCGTTACATAATGACTGTGTGAAAGTTTGTTAGTGGCCAAAAATATTTATTATTATTATTATTATTATTATTATTATTATTATTATTATTAAACATTTGCGTTATTGTACCTTTGAGGATTGTTTGTCGCTGTGCAAGCTTCGTAATGTCTTTTTAGTGGTACAGTTGTCAGCTTTTCTGTGTTCTGATTGTCCTAAATTTTTGGATTTCTTGAATATAATATATTCAAGAAATCAAAAAATTTAGGATCTAAGACATTAGGTTAGTTCAATAGAATATTGACAAAGGGGCACACAATCTAATTTGAAGAATAATAAAAGTAATGAACTAGCTCTTGTTCTTCATGCAACTTATTTGCATATCTCCAAGGAAAGTTTTCTAAAAACAATAGTTTTATATGAACAATAGGATTGGATGATAGAACATGCAAATACTTGCCTGCTATGCCTTTACTTCTCAGTTTGATGGCAAACCTGAGGCTTTCAAATTTAGATAGCTCCACTGAGTTAAAATCTTCTGATTCCTTGAGCAAAAACTTGCTATCTTTTACTAGCTGTAATAAAACAATGATGAAACATTATCTGTGTTATCCAAGTTCAGTTCAGACATTATAATCTCTTACAAGGCCATAAAAACGTAAGTGGTTTAAGGTCACATGCCCATCTTAAGATAATTATTGATCTGATAGCAGACTAACCCTCCAGGCTATATAAGGCAGTGCCTGATCCAGACGAGATAAGGGGGGGTCTCCCAATAAAATTTTTGACTATAAAAAAAGTGATGAATTAAATTACAAATAACTTTCTTTATGTTTTGAGACTTGAAATGCACATATCTTGTAAGTTTTAGACTGGAATGCCATCTGATGAGTAATCTGCTGGCTCCATTTAGCTTTTGCACTCACATGTATCAGTTAACTTAAAGAATTAAGTACTACTTGTTAACCTAGAGTGAGGTCACTACAGGGAAATCTCAGACCAAGGCCTGGGATTTCAACACCTCAAGGCTGAGGTCTGAGATTTCTCTGTAATGACTGAATGGATGATGTTAGTTATTTATTTATTATATGGCCAGTGTTTAGCGCTATATTCTTAAAATGAATACAATAAAAAACACGGCAAGTTTTTTTCAACATTCCTGCATAAGAGGTCACTCAAGGTCATTTTCACTGAACTGAAATGAACCTGGTGATGCAATTTAAACCACAGGACACAGTTTCTTTGACAATGAGAAATTTTGGAAATTTAAAACGAATAACTGGTCAGTCGAAAAACACGTCACATCCATGAGTTGTACGCTTCAGCCCACGACACAGTCATTTGACACTAGTCAGTGGATAGCTTTGTTAACAGCTGTCATATGGATGTCCACTATCAAGTTTTGTGTTTAAAAACCCAGATTGCATATGCCTTGGACACCTGGCTAGTAATGCCTGGTCATTGTAAGGAAATCTTGGCTTAGCGGCCAATTAGAGTGCACATACTATGTAGTATTGTAGCTATGTAATAAATACTGGTAAATCGATGTATTGCTTTTTGCAGTGGAATATTCAGCAGACAAAGTATACACTAGCTGTCAAATGCAAACTTGCAAAGTTGACCTCAGATCCTTGGGAAACTCTGGATGACTTTGGCAATCTCTACAAAGGAAGTCTTAACAAACCTTATGTAAGTTGACGTTTACATCATGTGATTTAAATTTGGGACCAGAAAGAGGAGGGAGAAAACTGGGATATGGAGGGAAGAGTAGGAACTTGTGAAATGAAAGTGCAATATGTACAAGGACATGGATGAGAACTGTAAGGAAACGGGGTGGGAACCAAGCCAGGAAATTATAAAGTAGGTGTTTGCAAGGCCAGCAGTTTGAAAACCAAGATACAAAAAAATTTATTACCTTCTTCAAAAACTGGAAATCCTTTGAAACCCAGTCCCTCCAGTTTGTTTCTTGACTGTAAAGATTCATAAGTTGAACTGGGAGGACAGGAGCTTAGAAAGAGAAGGAAAGTGAGTAAGTATAATGTAAAAGGGGCCAGCCAGGTGGGGTCCAAAACAGAATCACTAGAGGAAGTAGTGAAGATTAGGAAAAGGAAACAAGAAACTGGTAGATGAATTTGTGGTGTAAAGAAATGGAAAGTGAAAGAAAGTGGAGTGGGACTGGGAAATCAATGGGAAAAATTATTGGGTGTACAGGGAATGTAAACTAGGAGAGGATGGTTGCGAACTGAGAAATGGAGTTGGGACAGAATCGTGAGAAATACAGGAGTGAAGCAAAGAGAAGACACACTAGGATTTTTAAATATTCTTGTTAGTGAGGATCCTCAGGTTCTTATTAAGCTTGGCATTAATAATGAGAGCAAGAATTTCACAAAGGATAACTCCACTTTGCAAGCTCATTAGTGATATTGCACATTGATGTCGTTTGCTATTCCAGGGATATTTCAACTGGAGGGAAGACTCCAACTTTGGCCGTCAAAGACTGCAAGGCTGCAATCCCACTCTCATTAGACTTTGCACTGAAATCCCAGAAAAGTGAGTACTGTTGTCTCATTATTGCTTGTAGTTTACAAGTGCTTTTCTCACAACACCTGATTGACTTTCTTCCTTGCAGCACAAAACACTTTTCAAGAATATTTGTGGTGGTTGATCACAATTATTTTCTGAGTTTCATGGCAAATTGTTGTATTTTTTTTTTTCATAGTTTCAAGGTCACTGCTGAACTTGTTGAGCCTTTCCTGGAGGGACTTACTTTAGAAGAAGCCATGAAGAAAAAGAAACTGTATATTGTGAACCTGAAGAGACTCGGTGACATAATGTGCAGGTTTAACCGAGTGGTGAGTGTCTTAATAACTGTGTGTCACTGTATGTTGTAAACCCACTGTGAACAAAAAACCCAATTTCCTGATAAGCTGTCCCTTCTTGAAGCATGGAAAAGTGTTGCTGTCTTTTTGTCAGCATCAAGGCTGTCATCAGCTGAGTTTTACACCAGTGATTTTGCCCCTTACACATTTGTTTTATTGTCATTTTCTAATTTCAGATCTGCAAGCCAATGGCATTATTCTTTGCCAATGGCAGAAATGAGTTGATGCCTGTTGCAATCCAGTTGTTCCAAAAGCCATCAGATGATAATCCAGTGAGTAAATCATAGTACAATGTTCTGACTTGAACTTTTGGCAAATTCTATCACAATCTTGAGCAATGCCTATCCAGGTTTAATATATACTAAAACAGTGGATAGAGTTTTTTGGACACTCTGATTGGCTACTCAAACTTGGGATATTCAGTGCCATTTACCTCTGAGCAACGCCAAACTTGCTTACGTTATGAGCAAAAGGGCTTTCCGGTGTGCTACTGCATGAACAAACAAAGAAAATTTTAATGTCACAAATAAACAAACAAGCTGTTCCCGAAAACAATGGCCGTTATCTCACTGTTTTATTATATTAGACTAAAACAATATTGTTCACCTCAGTTTCATCCACCACAATGACTAGATAGCCAGAAAAAGAAAAAGAAAGTTGTTTTCCTGTGTTCAGTGAATAACTGTTACTATTCACCACTTCTCCATAACTCTCTGTAATTCTTCCACACTTTGTCCTGTTTGTTCCTGTAACCCTTAACCCTTTAGTTCCCAAGAGTGACCAACATCAATTTTCTCGTAACAACATCAGCAGATCATCAAGAGTAAAGATTATGAGAATTACTTAATTGATTACCAAAGGGAGAATGCTTTGATCTTAAACCAAATTCTTTCAACTGTTCTTTAAAGAAATGTATGGAGATCAGTCTGGAGAATTTGTATGTGTATCTTGGAGCTTAAAGTCTCAAGGGTGGTCAACATCTGAGTGATTCTGATCCTGGTCATCCCAAAGGAACATACCCATATTTAATATAAATTTTGTGTTATGATGGTTGTAGGTGTTTGTGCCTAGTGACCCAAAATACACCTGGATGATGGCAAAGATGTATTACAACAATGCTGACGCTGCATTTCATCAGTCTTGCACTCATCTTGGTAAGTGATTGATACAAGGGACATCGCTGCGTGGTTTTTATTCTGTGTGACAATATTGTTAATTTTGTGATTACACTGAGCCTTTTTCCTGCGGTTGTTGATTTTTTGAATTGCAGGCTTTACCCATCTTGTAGCTGAGACTATCTGTATAGGAACTCATCGTCAGCTTTCACCTTCTCACCCGGTCTTCAGGCTACTAGCGCCTCACTTTTTGTACCTGCTAGCAATCAACTCGTAAGTATCCAGTTAATTAATAGTATGTCTGTAGTGTTACTGACAAAACAGTGTTGATTCAGCAGGTGCCGGTTTGGCCAGAAGATTGACTGTCACCTCTGTGACTTTGATGACGTGGATTCATTTCTCTCTCTTGATCACTGTGGTGTTAGTTGCCCTGCTTCTAGGTTTTTTGTTAATATGGATTTTCGGATTTTTGCCCTCCACAAAGACTAACATTAATTTAGAGTTGGTCAGGTCTTTCGTAAAATAAGGTTGATTTTGTAATCATTTATAGTTCATTTGAAGAGCTAAGATCACAACCGTCCTGACATGTAATAATCATGTCGTCTTTTGTGGTTTAACTGAGATTTTTCCTGTTGTTTTGCAAGTGGCCTCTAATCCCATCGTAAAACACCCTTTTTTCATGATTAGTATTTAGTCCACCCCAACATCTCACACCCCAGGTTGTGTATTAAATATAAAAAACTTAAAACAACCTAGAACTTAAAACAAATAACTATGTACAAAATACAAGTAGTTTTAAGATGTTGTGATTGTTGTGTTTTATAGACTTGCCTTGGCAAGACTAGTTGCGCCAAATGGATGGATTGATAACACCATGACAACAGGAGCTGGAGGGCTGATGGAGCTCGTTAGTCAGACGTGAGTTGAGTAGGAACAGAATCGTCTTTTAACCCTTCAATTCCGTGTGTTGGACTAAATGAGCATTATTTTGTTGGGCTTGTTGTGCTCTTCCAGGGCCCTGTTGCCTCTTGCGACTAGAAAATTTTTTTTTTTTTGCTTAAAAATCATATGCTGGGCACCTTGGATTTCACAGGTTCAAAGCATTAGGCTCCCTTTCATATTTTTCTCAGAGTACGGCCTTGATTTGTATTTTCTGCATTTCACATAATCTTTATTCCGTAAAGTGAACATTTGCAAAAATACCCACCTGCATTCTGAAAAATCTGACAAATCTTACAAGCAGTACTGCTAATTTAAAAAGGATGGCCAAATCATATGATTTTCTGGACAGACTCAAAGTTAGTGGAGCACTTCATCTCAAGGTGAACTAAGTTAAGGAGTAAATGAGTTTCAAAGGCAAGGTTGCACCAAAGAAATCCGTAAGAAAATGGGCCTTGATTATGGCTCTACACTGTGATTGTGGAGTGATGCACATTTCACATTTTACAGTACAATTAAAGCCAGGATACAGTTAAATGTAGCTTACGTTTTGATGAAGCTTACTTGAGGTTGGCCATTTTGCATTGTAAAAAACATCTGACCACAAATCTCATTTTTTAGTTGGCAGCACTGGCGAATGGACACAGATGGATGGCTTCCTGCTGATTTAGCTGCCAGAGGGGTAATTATCACTAAAGAATATGGAAGATTTCTGTATTGATATTTGATTTTTGAGGCCCATGATTAGTCTAATTTTTTTTTGTTTGAGTAATAATATTATTGTTTTGTGCATGGTAGACTTTTCCATTAATATGTACTGTTAATAGGGGCTCATGGAATCTTGTACCAAAGCAAACTCTCTCTCAATAGAGAGGAGAAGTGTGATGACACATCACCATGGTAGCGGAATTTCTGGATAACAACATTAGGGAGCTTAACCGATGGCAAAATTGAAAACAACGAGAATGGCGAAAAGACAATAGAAAATCAACAACTCTGCCCATGCATCACACTCTTGTACATTTCTTAGCCATCGTTGCACGGATGTGACACAACACTTCCTAATTTCACATGCCCACTTTACGGAGCGGGTGAACACAACACAAAAATTTCTTTTTCTTTTTCTAAACTATCGGGTTCAATTCCAGAAAATTTCACCAACTATAACAAATTAAATGAAATTGAAGAGGGCCAATAAAGTTTGAAACAGTGTGACATTTTCGACTTCGCTCTATAGAGTGATACAGCTTAAACAGGGTATGTACTCAGGAGGGGCGAATAAGGGGAGGAGCCCTTGCCTGCTGTGCCCCAACCTCTTATCTTAGGGTCTGGATGAATCTCCCTCTTCCCCAACTTACCTGAAGGGTGGGTGTTCCAGTGCTCTGCACTCAGATTGTGGAAACCTTCGCATCACTATAGGGAGTTAAACATTAATTTTGTTTTCAACAACACAACTATATTCTACATAAAAAAGTAGTATCAGAAATGAATTTGCTATAATGAATGTACATTAGGAAAAGTTTCATAGAAATCTACTCTATGCTCTACAAAAATTTCAATGGTGAAAAATGCAAAAGAAATAAATTGCGAAGAAATTCCAGGATTTAGTAGTCAATTGGCTATACATGTCTTTATAATAATAACGTTGCTAGTCTATAAGGTTCCCCAAGTTTGAAGAGGTTGTCATAAATTGCTCATAGCAAATTTACCACATTCTTGAACTTGGTTTACGTTCTAGCCACAAATTGTGTAATTTTATTATCCATTGTGTAGATTTTAATTTTTTTATTGTTATTCTTGAGATGGAAGACACTGAAGCATTACCAAACTACCCCTACAGAGATGATGCTTTGCTGATTTTTGAGGTCATTCATGACTATGTGCGAGAGGTTCTGGAGGCATTTTATGGTACGCTCAGAAATTGGCTGTCATATCAGGGCTGTCAATAACATTGAATGCATATTTAAACAGGTTTAGATCTGTGAAACGTTCAAACCGTGCGATGTCGTGAACGCGTGGGAAATTTCGAAGGCATTGTTCCCATTCTTGCGTGTATTCCGTCAAAACAACATGGCGTCCGCGGTGGAATAAATACCTCTTGAAAACCCCGGAAAAGGCAATTGCCGAGACTCTAACTTTCAAAATGTCCCTAGATGCCTCGGCCCTAAGAAACTTGTGCCTTTGGTGCGAGTTCCAAAGCCGCCTACTATTTTTATTATCAGCCTGCTACTTAAAAACGTTTTGACAGCCCTGGTCAGATACACATATCTTTTGCAAATTTACTGGTAAATGTTCAGTACCGTCCATTTGGAGCCCTTCACAAATTTTTTGCATTGCTAGAAAGAACTCAGTCAGTGCAAATGTTTCTTATGAGTGGGTGGACTGCAATGTTAAACTTGAGGATAAGTTGTAACTTAAAAGCTGTTGTAAAGTTATTTTTCGTGGGAACCTTTGGAACATCTTCAAGTTAATGCGACCACTATTGGGCCATAACATCCTGGTCATAATAACGAGAATTGATGGTCGTATATAAGGGATCGTCGTCATAATAGTAAAATAACCAGTGTTTCTTACGTTTGGATCGAAAGACTGTGGTCGTAATAATGAGGTGGTCGTATAAAAAGGGTGGTTGCAAGGCGGGGTTCCACTGTATTTCCATCTGGTTCATTTTCCATGTATCCATCAGGAGGGAGGCGTAAGGGGGTACGAACACTTCAAAACCGCACAGAAATAAGTATGAACACGGCATTGAATTTACCTGAAAATTTCTAAATACCGCAAGCTGCTTGGTTTTGTAAAACCACAATACCGCAACTTAAAATAAAAATTTCCTCAAAACCGTATCACCGCAAACCCTTACACCCCCCTCCATCAGGCCCCGCTATCCGTTGGATAAATCACTATCCAGCGGATAAGTATTAGGGGAACCCATCGCGTTATCCAGTGGATAGCGCTATCCATCATTTGAACAACTGGGGAAGGTGATGATATAACAAGGTTTCATGAACTAATTCCTGCTTGAATATTTCAGATGCCCCTGAAAAATTAACAGATGACTGGGAAATTCAGAACTGGGGACATATGCTGGCAGATCCTGAAGATGGTTTGGGAATCAAGGTAATGTTTTTGAAACACAGTAGCATTATACAGTGGAGAATGTTTACGGCAAACAAGTGAGTCTCCATAGTAAGTAGCTTGTTTAGTGGTAGAGTTTGTGGGCAGATAGTGAGCTGTGACTGCTCCTAAGTGGGAACAGGAGAAAATTATGTGCGCTGATGTTAGGTTTTAGAGAGTTAATAGGGAGTGATACAAATTTGGTAACATCAAGGCATATTATGGGGAGAGAAAAGGCCTCACTTCCGTTTGACGTGCGTTGCTCAAAAACTCCTTTACTCAAGCTTTACTTAACAGCCGCAACATAGTTAGTAGAGCACTTGATTGTAGAGCGGAGGTCGTGAGTTCTATTCCGGGGCCGAACCAATACTTAAGGTGTGAAAACAACTGAAAAAAGAAGGTACTACCTTTTCCCTGCAAATGGCAAGACCTTCGCGTGGTTCCTATGAACGCGTACAATAACGGTCCCGTCTCCGGACGGACACTTAAAAAATTGTTCTCAATTAGTATTTTCCCCTAATGTTTCAACATGTACAACTGTACCTTTTAATATTTTTACAGGGTGTGTTCGGAGATGGCAAGTTTAGTGACTTGGAAGACTTGATCAAAGTGGTAACCTCCATCATCTTCATCAGCAGTGTGGGGCACTCAGCTGCAAACTTTGCTCAGTATGACGAGTATGCCTTCCCTCCCAACTATCCTGCTTTCCTGCGGGGAAAACCACCAACATCAAAGGTACTTTAACCTTTAACCTTTCAAGTAGCGTGCTTAGTAGGCACATAAATGGGAGGAGAGGGAGAGCGAGAGGGACAAAAGTGCTAAAGAGAATAGGGGCCCCTTCCCTCTCTACCCAGCCCTATATCCCTTTCGACGCCTGCTACACAGGCTACCATTCGAAGCCCAAGAGTGACCAGCGTTAATTTTCTCAAACAATCTCAACACATAAACCAGAGAAGAGGTTATGAGAGTTAACAAAATACCAGTGGGAAAATACGTTGAATTTCTCTCAAGCATTTTCTTAAGGGAATGTATGGAGATCAGTGTGGAGAATTTGTATGTGGATATTGGGTCTGAAAGTAGTTAGCCGCAAGAGCGATAAACATTAGCCTGCGTTGCTGCCGGCCCACGCATCGTCCTGACCGTTTGCAGAAGGTTTAGAGTGTGCGCAATGCAGGCTATTAAACATCAACATTAAGTTTCTCCTTTTCCTTTTTAAATGCGGCGTGGTCAGGACAATTGGCTGATTTAGCAACAGAATGGGATCGTCAGTTGATGACGGCGCGTGCAAATCAAACAACTGGCTTGACCAATGTGGGAATCGGAAGTCGAGTTTAGTCCTTTCCGCGCGCTGACGTTCCCATTCTGTTGCTATACCAGCCCTTGGGACATGATCACGCAAGATGAGGTCAATTGATGCCTAAGCAATTTCTCCCCACTATTTGTAAAGGAAACGTATCGGGGCACCCAACGAGAATTTACTTCTCAGTATTAAGGTGGATTTCCACTGTCGCATAATTTTTCCGTGCGTCTGCACGTAAATTTTACGCGCGTAAATAAAATAGAGACAATGTATGGAAGGTCACGCGTAAACGTTTAAGTGGAACCTCGCTCGCTAGCCTGTGCACAGACGTTGTTTTATTTTTCTTTTCGAAAACATCGGCGAGCTCGCGAGCGAAGCGAGCCTGCGAGAACGAGCGTGGAGCGCGAGAAAGATTCGTCTTCCCCCACCCTACCCCCTTTCGCTGGTGGTCAATAAACCCACTGCGGTTTATATTTTATCACGCGCGCTCGACGGACTTTGAAGGGGAAAATAGATAAAAATACGTGGTATGTACGTTAAAGTTATGCTACGGTAGAAATCAACCCTTAGTGTTTAAAGGATTAATAATGATAAAGAAATGTAAAAAAGAACGAGGGTGCAAAATGTACCGCTGTCCACGTCTCTAAATTGATTATTAATTTGATAAAATTTAAAACAAAAAAAAAGAAAATATTTAATTAAATTTATCCAGGGTTTTACATTAATGTGCCCAATTTTATATGTTACTGTAGGAACATTGGGCAGAGCATTAAAATTTCTCTGACCATGTCCGGTCCCCTCGCTTCTCTAATAAGGACAGTTGTTCCACAAAGGATAAACGAGTTGATAATTGGTTGATTTTGTTCTGATTACAGGAACCTCTGACAGAACAGGATATCATTGATGCTCTTCCAGTCAAAGACATGACGCTTGACATTATCATTGTGACAAAAATCCTCAGCGATCGCGGTACTAACGCACTGGGTGACTTTGAAGTTCAGTACATGTACGATCCTAGAGGAACCAAGCCAGTTGAAAAGTAAGAATGACTACCAGAGAATTTGTTCTCATTGAGAACCTGTGTTAACTGTAGATAGTTAGTTATAGTTATAGTTAACTGTAGATACAGTGTTAAGAATTTTGCACTTTGTTACCCAATGACTCCTCTCCTCACCCCACCCTGGTCAATTTTGTTCGGTTGAGGTAGGAAATGATCCAGCCGGACTGCAACATTTTTTTTGGTTGGGGGAGGAGGAGGAGTAGTTCTTTTGTCGTTGCTGCCATTGCTTTCAAGAGCTTTATCTTGAAACATGACACGGCAACGTCCATTTTTCTTAACATTTCTGTCCAAGAGTGTGGCTTTTACTTGAAAATAATAAACGACAGCAAAGTATTGCTTCGTTAGATTTTGCCCTCTACTCAAGAAATACAGCTCGCTCACAAGTGAATGATGAAACTCGAGACGACCTCGTTCCCAGGTTCTCTCTCCGTAGGGAGGGATTGGAGAGAACTCTGGGAACGAGGTTGAACTTGAGCTGGTATGATTCTGGTGTTAAATGGGTCAATAGACACCAAAAAAACCTCACTAATGATGTGTAAATTGTTCTGATTGCAGATTACGGAAACGATTACTTGAAGTTAGTGACATCATTGCCGAGAGAAACAAGAGTCGTCCATTCCCTTATCCCTACCTGGACCCTAAAGAAGTCCCCAATGCTATCAGTATTTAGATCCTTCATCGCCCGGAAATGGCTAAGAATTCAGTACACTAAACGCTCCAAGAGAACAAATATAAGACGCGATTATCAAAACTCACGAAGACATTTTGTGCCAGAAAGGAATTTCTGAAATTTAGTTGAAACTTTGTACAAGCCCGAAACCAACGCAATTTGTTTTTAAAATGTAGAAGGTGATTTTTTGTACTGCAAATCGGTGAAGACCGGATCGTTTTTTAGCGGCATTTTGCCCGTAACGTAGATTTTCTGGCGCGAAATGTGATTGTGACCTTAGAATCGCACTTTGGGTCTCTTCTTGTAAATCACATTGTATGTATATTAATTTTAGTGAATGGAAACTGTCGGAGGAATTAGTATAGCAAGAAATTCTATTTTTTTTTTCAAAGTTGGTCTGTTAAAAGCAAATTTTGGCAAATTTTAAGGCGATTCGACACTGAAAATCTTGGGATTCAAATTCTTTTGTCACTCCTTCGACTGTTCAAAATTCATATCCAAATTATAGGGAGCGCTTACCATTTGTATGGAAAACCCGGTAATTCCGGGGAGAATTCAAATGGAACAGTTCATCCCGGTGGAAATTTTCCGGAAAAAAGGAATGCCTTTCGAGGTATTACCTTTTTCCCGTTTTTACCAAAACGACTGAAATTTTTCGTATCAATTTGTCTGGTTAACCAGTGCCAGGCTTCCCCTTGAGGCGGAAGGTGAAAAATGGCGATCTTTTCCAAGGAGGGCCATGGTGTTTCGCAAATGGTACAACTCTAACCAATGCCTCTTTTCGAAAACGTTTTCAAGTACAGTACCATTTGTCAGAAATTTTTGCCGAAGTTTCCTTACAAATGGTATGCGCTCGGGGTCTATGACGCTAGGAAATTACTCTCATTGGTCAATTCTGTGCTGTAGTCATTCCTCAGGGCTTGTATACTGCTGTAGACTAATGAAGATATCAAACAAATTCCATCTGGGAGCACAAACCATAATAATTTTTTGGTGACTTTATTTTTGAAAACGTTGACCTATTCTTGCCATCTACAGTATGTCTATTCTTGTCATCCATAGTAACAGACGATAGCAAAGATGTCTTGGTAGTAAAATATAGTCTTAAGTAACAAACCTGGGTACCATGACAGTCCCTGTAAGTACTCCTATGGCATGTGCATTTCAAAGTTACCCGTAACATTACATATATAACGAAACTAAAACTAATATGCATACTTCAACCACCGTTCTAGGACTTGGATAACGATTATATTAGTATAGTTAAACTGATGGATGATTCCTTTGCGTAATCGCGAGGTTTTTGTACAATACCACATGGAAATTATAGTGACAAATATGTTATGCGTTCGCTTAACGTTTTTACTAAAAAGTTCAGATATTCTTTATTCTTGTTACCATTTGTTATGCATGTACCATTAAATAGTTTATTTTGTATTTTTATTGTCAGTTACTTTACACTATTTGGCAAAATGGCTTTACAGCCCTTGCACATGCCTAGGGTAATAGTAGTTGCATTCAATATTTATTATTCTTCCACGCGGTGAAGAGGGTTCTCTTCACATAGATTTAGTAGGATTTGGAACACAGTCAAGTTGTGAGTGGTTCCCAGACGAAGATGGAAAAAAATGTTTAAGTTTGCTCTGGTTTCACACTTCTCCTGATGATTGGCTATTTATGACTGTCGTGATTCTTTTTCAACCAGTCTCTGAGGTGAAGCCAAAAGCAGTTGTCAGTTTGCGTTCGTATTTTGCCGCGCTGGGAACCGGTTACAAGTATTTGCTCAGTCGAATTCTGATTGGTTTTACGTTACTCCTTGTGATTGGCTGTCTGAAACTATCGCGATACTCTTTTAACCAATCACCGACGTGTGACAAAAAGCGTTTATCACGTCGTTTTTTCCCTTGCTTTTATTCCCGAATTCTGCTTTCTTCGTTGTTGTTGTTGTTGTTGTTGTTGTTTTTTTTGCGTCTTTAGAGATTGGTTCGGTAGGACTTAACTGGAGACTACTCTATTTGTAATGAATAAGAAAAGTGACCGAAGCAAACACAATAACGAATCATAGCAGTTAGAAATGAAGTGAAGCATTTGGAAGTTAGTGAAAGTAAAGAAATGTGATAGCCACTTTAGACTTTGATACACTTTATTGAAAATAAAGAAACTGCCTACTTTGTATAAACAAGTTACACTCTGGTGTACACTGAGTCTGTACGCGTTACATGCAGCAGGCTACCTCTTGCACTTCCTAGTTATACACATTTTATGGAGATGTCGTATGTATTATTCTCACCAAAATTTTTTTGCTTGTGGTCCTGTTCGCTTTCTTTTTCACTGCCGATTGTCATACTGGCCGCTAACATTTTTCGTTTCCTCACAACCGTCTTAATTTTTTCTTGTTGTGTTTCTAACGTTATACTACCACAGGAGAAATTTCTACAATTTTATTGGCCTAGAGCAATCGTATTTCAGCTTAATTTGAAATACCTACATGTGAAAATTACGAATCTTATGTGGGTAGTAGTATAAACAAATAATAGCATGATTTGTACGTGATGTTTGGCATAAATACCACTCGTGATATTTCGTTATATCATATTGGCAAAACACCCTTCACCACTCTCAAAAACTAGAATTTCTTAGATCTTTTAAAAGCGATCGTACCACTTCTAATTACCAGGAACAGGTGAGAGTAAAATTACGAATAAGTAATCACAAACTAATGATAGGCCTTGCTAGATACAATCAAAATACCATAAATAATAGGAATTACCCTTTTTATGGATCCAATCAAATAGAAGACGAAATTCACTTTCTTTTTAATTGTGCTAAATACTCTTTCATTAGGAATAATTTTTACAATAAAGTTAAGATTCTGATTCCAAATATTACCCAGTTATCTGTGAACGCATTGATCAGTGAATTGATAAACACATCTATTATTATATTAATTCACAATTCATGAAATATTTTTCAGCGTGCTTTAATTTAAGTAGGTTAAGGTGGCTCGATACAGTTTTCAGGGTCAATACCTCCCAAGTTTGAGCATAAACTACGTCGCCATAAACAAAGATTTGGAAAAAACTGCCACCACAGTTGTATTCGATAAAGATGAAAATTTGTTATGATCAATGTTGCAACGACATCATAGTTGTCATAGCAACGAAATGACGCTATTACCTCTTTTACTTGCAGCAGCATATCTCGGCACTGAGAACTGTTCTTCCAAAATCGTTCACGGTAGCTTTTTCCTCCACTAGCCGCCTCGATGTTCGTGAGGTTTAAGCGAAATTCATTCCTTTTTTGAGCTATTTTGAAAAAATAGCTCATATGTCGGTGGTGTGAGCGTATGTATCTTTGTGGCTTTGTATGTTCGGATGTTTGTTGCAAGAGCCAAGAAGGTTGAAGGTACTATGAGTTGATACTTAGGAACCAATGAGATCTTGGCATCTATTTAAAGATGGCATTGCTAAAGGTCGAACAAGGGCATTTTGAGACCGCCATCTTGATTCTTCACAATTTTTTCGTCTTTTATTACGGCTACAGGCGTTTGGAAGCATTACATTAAACATCTTCATGATTCAAACGCTGTGTACAGTGATGCAGCTGTTTAAGGGTTCATATTTTAGTGTGGATGCTGCTTCAACGCATTTCTGACCTAATTCGGCTATCGGTACAACGCACCTATTTATGAGTTCTGTTTTACCTGCTTCAACTGGGTAGAGTATAAAGATCATATATTTGCAAAGCTCTTCCAATGAAGCAATAATTGATATTTGGATATGGACTTTAATTCGAAAGTATGCGCCCTATAAAATTTGGTTTTAGAAGTTTGAAAGGGAGAAAAGGGAAAGGGAGCTTATTTTTTGAAAGCTGTACTGAGTATTGTTAATTCTGTAAACAAGCTTTAAAAATATTATTCTCTCGCTTACAAAGATCAACAGACCTTTTTCGTTGGGCCTTCCTGCATACTAAGTATTATAGTGAACAACATTAGGGAATAAAATTGAAGAAGCTAGTTGACACAATAATTAAATATTGCTTTATCCTTCCTGCATAACTGACGTTGCATGAAACATAGTTTGTTTTGTAAACATATTCAAAGCGAAACAATGCAGCAGTTAACTGAAAATTTTATTATTGAAGGGCGCGCTCAAAGCAGTACGCGTCAATGTTTACGTGAATATATCTTTTTTCCTCACAGTTAATCTTATGTTTTTATCCTGAAACTGAGAGAAAGTGTACTCTAAAATGATTGTAAAATCCATATTTAGGTGCCGGAAAACTATTAATTTACCGAAAAATTGTTATTGAGAGAAAACAACTTTGCAAAGAATGAGCTCACGCCATAGCCCGCACAGCTCGCGGAGATGACAACAACAACAACAACACTCACCTCTTTTCCTTACTATCGGTTAACAAATTCAAACGTTTCCTCTTAAATTTCTTTACAAAACACATGGTAAACGCTTCACTGTCTATTGCTGAGTTATGGATGCACTCAAGAGACTCAGGATTGCTAAGCTCACAACAACTCGAGGAATTACGAATAGTTTATTGACGTCATCAGCGTGCTCAATAGGAATATGAAGCACGCTCGCGCTATTGAATTTGATTAGGCGAATTTTCTAGCTATGTTATAAAATTTGGTTTTAGAAGTTCGAAAGGCAGCTTCATTTCACATTGGTTGCCCTGTGGTACGGAAAGGCGTACGGTCACGTGACCACCAAAATTTCTCGGAAGCCGAGAGGAAAGGTGACTGTATTCGCAGGCTCATCGTAAGCATGCTTAAATCGTAATTATTTTTAATTTCATGACAGTGATGAAAAAAGTATGACATGATCTGTATTATTCTTAATTTACTCAAGCTAAGTTTACTCACAATTCAAGTCGCGCTATCGTCATACAAGCAATGTCTGAAGAAACTCTTCCGATTTACATTTTTGATTGTGCGGTGAAGTGTACATAAGAAGATAAGTATAGGTCTATTACAGCTTGAAATTAGGGCAATGGCACCCTTCAATATGGATTCTTTTTTCTTTCAGAATATCCGTCCCCAACAAACTGTTTAGTTTGGAACAAAAGCCGGTGGAAAAAAAAAACAGAAAAGCTTGCAAGTGAACCAGTCTTCGGAAGATGCCCTAACAATAGAAAACAGATGTTAAAACATTCTAAAGGCACTTGGCATTTGAAAGCTGGAATCAGTGTGGTAATAACTAAATAGATTAAGCGACAATTTATCTACTTTGTTTACGACGTACCAATTAGTCCTCTACCGTAAACTGTTGCTCATACTAGCTCCTGTCTGGTCTTATACATCTTCGTAAGGGGTTTTAGGGGGCTTCTAAAAGGAGGGGCTAATATCCTAGGGGTTTATAACCGGAATAGAAAAAGCGCTTCGAAACAAGCGATAGCAGTGTTGATCAAAATACGTTTTGCATTTACGGGTTTTTAATTAACCTCCAAATCTTCACAACAAAGCGAATTCGTTTCAATACATTTGGAGAAGGGCGGTTATCCGATCGAAGGGCCTTATGATCGGATAATTACACGTACAATATGTCTATAACTGGGAGGAAGCTTATAAGTGTGGAGGGGTTGGGACTTACAAGGGGCAGTTTACTGTAAACGGCCTAAAATTTAACCGTCAACCGTCAAAAATGCTGATTACTATTAACCGTTAAAAAGATTCAAGGAACTTCAGTCCCCACTATTTTAGCTGATCATCACGGGATTCTGGCTCTTGAAAAATATGAATCTCTACACTTGAAAAACAAGCAAGTACCCATGTTTTCAAAAACACTTTTTTTAGATATCACAAGACCTTACAACTTTCTTAAATCTGAAAAACTTTTGAAATTTTATCAGTGAAAAGCCAAGGCAACCTCAAAAGCTCTAAAATTTACCGTCAACCGTCAAAGCTACCACCCCACTGAGACCGTCTCAGTTACGTCAGAAAGAGTGACTCATGGAATAAAGTTCTTAACAATAAAATTCATGAGAGAGGGTTTATGAAATTGCTATGATTGAACTATGGAAGTTTTATACACTTTCTTTATTTATAGGATCCATAATAACATGAATCAAACGATGATAACTGTGTCTGTGGCTTAATTTTACATTATTTTGTATATACAACCTATTTCCCTAGTTAGAGAATCACTTCGTACGTACAGGTATAATACACTTATACTACCCCCACGGAAAATACTAGACATGCGAAAAAACCATTCCTTAAAACTGGTGAAGTCAATTAAAATTAAATTGAGCGTTTTGTCAAAAGAGGTCATTAGTTGTGATCTAAAATACTAAACTTTGACGGGCTGTGCAAGAGCTCCAGTAAAGGAAGACAACACTTTCAGTTACACGAAAACTGGTTAAAGTTATCGCCAATAGCGCGCATTAAATATATAGGCTTTTTTGGAAACGTCAAACAATATCCTCGACTTACTTACTTAGCCATTTCTTTCGTCATTTTCCTGCGGTTGTGGGTGCACTCTACTCTCAGCCCTTCGACGGAAGTTTTCCCGGCTTCGTGTTCGTAATATGCGCCTGTTAAGATCCTCTTCTCTTTGTATCGCTCCCTGGTTCCCGGCGTCGATCATTCCAGAACCCTGCACTATCAAAACCCTTCGTTCATGGTATGTTATTACAGCCAAACAAATCTTTGTGAAAAAGTACAGAACAATACACATCAGTGTAGCTGAAAGGACGTTTTCCATCACTCGATCGGCAGAACAAGCACTGTTCTTTCTTTTTGTTTACTCGGACCTGTCGAACCAACAAATCTCAAATGTTAGGTCTTTCTTCGCTCTGACTGGAGTGCAAAGTTGTATTTAGCGCTATCGCCACTTTCGCCCAGCTTTATGACCAGTCTTCGTATTTATATCTGCTTGGCCGAAGTGACCGGCGAAGTGTCTTAACTGGAATGTCTAAACGGACAATGCAGATGCGGAGCTGGTAGCACTGGCTTAAGTGGATCATCAGCGACTTAATTCCATCTGGCTGCCTCCACAAAAATGACGCTC